AAACTGTAATGCTTCGCGTCTTACAAGTCATTAGATTGAGACCGACGGAGCAGTAACCACAGTTCATAATGCGTAAATACTCGCGTGGGCACGTTGGGGCACGGTCAGGACGGGCCTTTTCCACGCGACCAAAGCCACGGAACCCCTAGACATGCGGATAGCCCGTTGACCCGCATGCTTTTCGGACCTGTTAGCGGCTACTAATGCAGAGACAGACTCGTGCGAAGAAGAGAAAAAAATTTCTTCGGCAGGAGAAGCAAAAGAGGGGTTACGAAAAAAAAAAAATCGAATAAACTAGTAAATCTTGAGAACTTTCTGATATTCCATCGTTGTCTGTGGAGTACTGCAAAGCAACGTTTAGCCTTCGCTCCATACATACATACATACCTACACTAACAACCCATGCCCACATTGTAGGAGGGGATCTGTTGAGCCGATGGCCGGTTGCGCTCGTGGGGGGCTTGGAATACATAATACCGTTTCTATGTACATACTGGAAACGTATGATGCTGATTCGATAGGCCATCCTATGTAAGCTGGTAAGTAGGATAAAGGGATCTCGAGCTTAAGCAAGTCAACCTAACAGCCAGACAGTCCATACATAGGTATGATGCTTCACAACCATTTGAAGGGCTGCAGTAATTCTGCGGAGATTCGTGATACGTGCGTACAATACAAATGTGGCACAGGGCCGTTTTGTGTCCTAAGGCGTCTGATAATCTGATTCGATCGCCTAGCCAGCCCAAGTGGATGGAGTAAGGGTCCATAGGGGATATTCATAGTATCAAATCCACATCCGAAGTCTCGCCAGGTGCTGGGTAAGTGATCGGCTTTGAAGACGGGTTGTTGACGTCTTATTCTCTACGTAATTGGTTAGATCGATAACCGAGATAGTGAGTAACTCAAGTCCTTCCATTACCTCATTAGCGAGGCTGGGCCATGAACGTTGAAACGGTAGGTATTGCCCATTTCTGATAGCAAGCTGCATTAGGTCGTCTTGATCATCCAAGAATATCCATCATTTCTGCATGTGTCAAGTATGCTGGTATGTAGTAGGTAGGATGATTTATGCGGCGGTGACGTATACATTATACATGAAGAATTGTGCTGATCAGCAGTTCTGGATTTCTTGGATGCTTGAATAGTAATTGCGATTGAAATTTCATTACTAATTGCGATTCTCTTTGGTGAAGCAACCAAGCAACTCAGTGATATGTAGGCTTGCTACTGCAACGATCAGATGTTTAGTGGATATTACTGCTTGAGAACTGCGAGCCGAGGCCGATGCGATGCTTCAGTTTTGAAAAATCCCTCAGAACTTCCAAGTTTTCTTGATATTACCAATTTAACTTTTTTTTTCCAAGAAATTTTAGGGGGTTAGCGCAGAAGGACCGAGAGAGGGGGTGTGTTTATGTACCTAGGTAGTGTAGGTACATAGAGGTGTATCGCGGAAATCCATTGCTTCTTATGAATCCTATAACTCTGATAGGCTAGTTCATTATGGGTCGTCACGCCCTTTTGGAAATTATCGGGTTGGTACCTGCCCTACGGAGGGTACATACCTCTTCTACATAGCATACCCATCTATGTACATACCTCAGCACGATGCCCGATTCGATTCAAGATTACCCCAGATATTAAGGGTATCTGCATGTTCTTTGGCTTCTAATAATGCTAGGTATCTGATTTTTTCTGAAGAATTATTAGTTGAGAAATTTGTCATTTGTTTGTGTAATCTATATTCTCAAATTGTATTCGCCAACCATCGAGATATCGAATACCTGGGTGGGTATACAAGCTTTCTACAGTCTCGTGGCGGCTCATTTGTTATGGACCTTACGTGTGTAGGTGAGTATCTACCATTGAGGTATGCATGACTTCCGAAGATCCGCATCTGTGGGATTTATATTGTGCCGCCCCGAGCAAGGGGCCCATTGGACATGAGCACATACGGGAGAGGAACCGTTGTCTAATATGCTGTACATACACCCTGGGACCCTTGATCTTCCATGTTTCTTAAATGGGCCTCAACACGTGTGTGGCTTCGTTCATTAGTTGACGCGTTGACTTACATGGATTGGTGTTATGGGCGCATATTAGAAACTGTCAATCTTTTGGTCTTTGGTGAGTCTGGCTGACCGGATTGTCCTGACACTTCACTCAGATGCGACAGCATATAGCTAGTGGTGATGGAGGTTTCATCCACGCTTAAGAGCCCGACCAAGTAGTCTGCTAAGCAGCATGCCCCGTCCTTCCATTGGGACACACAACTCGAACTGCTGCATTGAGAAATGTCAATACCGCAGAGAACCGAAGACGCTATTTCTGTTCCACCGCTTGTACGGGAACAGCAGGACCGAGGACGGTACAGCTCAGCATCATACATGCGAGGGCAATAATCCCGTTTTGACTAGATAACAAACTGACCTTTTATCCAGATGGGGTGATGTAACGCATATCGAAACAAAGGAGGAGATGATAGTTCCGAAATGAGCAAAGGTCGAGCTAGTCGGGGTCCCGGATGGATATTGATTAAAAAGACGCCGCCCAGAAAAAAAAGAATAATAATACTTTCCGCATTCAGAGTCTGATATTCCCCAACATCCGTTTAGGTCACGCGTCTTACTTGACAAGTCTCGACTCTCTCCACGTGTAAAAGAAAAGCATGAAGCTAACGCTTACTTACCTCGGTTAGCTATTTTCATTTAATTCCTCTACAGTATCGAGAGAAGATACTTATCATAAGACACCGGTAGTTTTAACTTGAAGCAGCTTGCACAGTTAAGACACAAAGGAAAAAAAAAGTACGTCTTGTGGGAGTAAATGGTTTGCGTACCTATATCGATCCATACATCTGCCAAAAATATATATTAACAATGACTGAACCCAACGTGGTGTACAAACTAGCTAATACCGGCGAACTAAGACAGGAGTGGCTAGCTGTAATTGTTAATGTTTAACGGTTGGATTGGATAATGGAAACACATACTATTTTACTTAGTATCAGTTTGCTAAGGCGTAACTAAAATAGGTAGGACCCTGATCTTCAATGGTAAACTTCGGCGTTACACTAGTTGGAAATAAAGGCAAAGGCTTGAGCATAATCGGTGGGTTGTCAAAAAAGGGTTCGAAACCCAATATAGAAGGGTCCTGAAAAAGAACAAGCTGTTACATAGAAAATAAAGGATACATAGGTAGGTATCTAAGTGCCGTGAAATCTTCGATTAGATTTGAGAGGTTATCTTTCACGGTGATGTTATACTTCTCATTAGATGGATAGATGGATGATAGCTTTGAATTTTTTATTTATTTATTATTATTTTTTTTTTTTTAGAAGAGGAGTCTAAAAATGCTGGGATATAATCCGCAGAGGCATGTATCATAGGTAGCGTATTTATTGATGGAATCGGTACATTTTACCCAGCATATTTCTTTTACGGACACCCCATTTACCAGTTACCAGAGTTCCTGCCGGGACAACATCTCCAGGTACTAAAGTACTTGGGTACACTTTCTATGTACTAGTAGCAGTTGCCTGAACTGTGTTAGATTTTAGATGCTGGATCCACCTGAAGAACCTGGACCACCGCTTCTTGCTGCTAGCTCGATTCAGTCTGTACCCAATCGCTGTAACGTAGACGACCCCCTTGTTTCCACTATTCTTTCAGTGGCCAACTCGCCTCTTTTTTTTTTTTTTTCTACGCCTGCGCGCTGGCCGCTCCCAGTTTTTTCTACAGAGGTAGGTACACTAGGGTAATAAGTTTAAGTTTAGTGGGCTGGAAACAGTAGGGGGACGCTACAAGCAGACAAGGTACCGGGCGGCGCTAGCGGTCAAAGAACGTCTGGTCCCACTTAGTCTTTGCGGAGACTTGGTTGGTTGATTGTTTTTTTTTTTCTCTCTAAACTGGAGACATTGGAAGTTGCCATGGGGTTTCTTGAGTTTGTGTGAGAACTTGGTCTAGTGTGTGTGTGGGCTTTACCTTGACCAAATTTTTTTTTTCTTACACTAGGCCGTGCTCCGTCAACATCATCACCTTTCTCTAATTCCCCATCCTTCCCCAATCCTTTCAACCTCCCAAACACTTCCGCCTCAAACCCACCACTTTGCCGCTTCTACCTCCGTCTCCCTCTTTTTCTTCTTTCCTTTTCTCTTACACCTTGCAATTCCGCCGCTTGCCAATATACTCGACTTGAACCGAATTTTCGAATTTTCGATTCTCGGAGCTGTCGACGTCAGGATTCAGGTTGTTACGACACATAGGAACCCTAAGAAAAAGAGAGAGGCACAACGAAGTTGCACTTCGTCGTGCAGGAGAAGGTACTCGAGCTGGAAAGCAACATTTCGGTCTTATTTGGATTTTATTCGCCGGTCTAAAGAGCATTTCTCGCCCATCCTCTGCGCTCTGCGGACAAAAGTGAACCAAAGTTACAATCGCGACGACCAATTCTTGCATTTCAACACGAACACCACTACCGACTCGATATAGCTCGACTGGACTCGCATATCACTCTTTCGCGAACAGCCTAGTTACCGAATCTTGGAAGCGTTCTCACCACCATCAACATCCTTCGCATTAGGTAAGTTAAATCAATCTTCTAGAATACTGTACTATCACTGTTATTCAAATCATTTACGATCCCTTTAAATTGCTGTCACCTTTCATCACGACTACGCTTCGAACATTTTCTGGATGCCGATACATGTCCGAGCACCTGGATTGTCATGCACTTCACGATTTTAACTTTCTGGTCACGTCTCCAGTCTTGAAACGATACAAACTCATTCGCGATCGGACTTGAATCTTGAATGAAAGTTTGAAAAAGAATCTGTGCCATTGCTCCATTGCCCTCGATTTACTTTCAATAGCACGTCTCTTTTTCCCTGTTTCAATCCTTCTAGACAATTCAACAATTCACCTCTCGGCGCGCTCTCCAACCTAAAATTTTAACAAAACACGCCCAAAGAGCGATTGTGTTTATTTAAATCGATTCATTGTCCCAGAAAAATAATCGTTTTGTCAATCCACTAATACGAATAACCACAGATTTAAGAGGTCTTCACTGAACCTTTTATACCCTCGACGGCTTGCGCGTATTTCCTACTCAAATACAACTTGACACTAATTTCGTCTATCCTAATCGCTGCCATCGCCCTAGCTCGGCAGACAGCGTGATTACTCACTTTTCCAAACACATTATTTCCTATTGGGACGAGTCTCTTTAGCCGGTTCTCGATTCAACCTATAGTTCGATCTGTCGAGATAGAGACAACCGCTTCATGGCTTGCGAATCTCAATAGGGTTCTCAACCACCTTTTCCTGTATATTCTCTTATCTCTTCGGCCTTGGATATCGCAGCCAGTTGTCTCGTGGTCTTCCCACCCAACTGAACTATCCACGTGCTTGAAGCAGAAACCCTCCAGCAAAGGTCGATCCTAGATTTTTGACGGAGTCTTTCCACACAGCCGTCATCATGCCGGGCGGTGTCTGCGCGGTTCTCGATTACGAGACCGAACTCATGGCGGAATATGTGGCTGAAATGACAGTGCGAGTCATTCTCCCTAAATCATCAGTTTCTGGCGCGTTCCGGAAGTTCGTGAATCAGATACTGACTTCTACACGACTCCCGAGCACCACCATCCTCCTCGGAATGAATTACTTGGCTAAGAGGGTCAACATGCTTAACCAGTCTGGTTCATTCAATCCGAATGAGGGCCAGATGTGGAAAATGCTGACTATTTCTCTTCTCCTCGGTAGTAAGTTCCTCGACGACAATACCTTCCAGAATCGATCATGGTCCGACGTTAGTGGCATTGCGGTGTCGGAGCTCAACACTATGGAAAACGAGTGGTTGAAGCATATTGGCTGGTCATTGTATGTCAATCTTGATCGGAGCGAGGACTACAATGCGTGGCTCAAGAGTTGGAAGGAATGGGAAGAGAACAAGAAGTTCCACCAGCAACAGAAACAACAACAACAACAGCAGCAACAGTCACACATCGCTATGCGCGAGAGGTTGGCACCAATTGTTACTGCTATTCATTCAGAGCCAGTACGACAACATGCTCTTTCCCTACAGGGCTGGGGACACGAGGAGATTGTCGAGCACGAACGTTTCAACATAAATGTAAACGTAAATGTCAGGCTCGTCCATGCCGGGACCACCGATTACCGATGCCGAGAGGGGTCTTGGCAAGGCTCATATTGTAATCCTTGGTCACAACCTCAGGCTCCTTTGACTCCTCCAGATTCTGGTTACGGAACCCCCGAGTATCTCAACTCGGCTGCTTCTCTGAATTCCTCTTATAATGACTGGTTCTCTCAGGCCGTCAATGGAGGCTACAACCGACACTACAAGCCACACTACAAGGCGCCTGGCCCGCCTGACCACAACGAATACAGATCCCGTAGCGGTTCCCATTTCCCTCAACATTACTGTTCCCAATATGGCTCTGGTCCGTGGGACCCGAGCTTTCCTGAATGCTGTACCCAGTGTCGGGCTCAACGCCATGCCACAGCGGCTGTTTACGCGTAACAGCACAGTTATACCCAGTCGGTGATGGGTTAGGGCCGATTTTACGATGACACGTCGTATTGTATTATCGATGCCAGTTTGGATGAGGCTGACTTGTGCTCAGCCGAGGTTTTATGATATGGGGAATACTTGCACTAATGTCTACTCTGGCATCGTTCTACATAAATTTGTTACTCAGATACCCTCGGAGTTTCCTATACACTGGCGTAAGGTTTTCATCCCTGGTATGGGATGGTTTGGGTAAAGGAGGTCGCCGAATCGATTTTAACTTTCTCATTCGAGTCGATATCCATTCGCTCGTACCGTCGCGAAAACATTCGATTCCGTCGGTTCCTCGAATCCCGGCCCAGAATCCCTATATTCAGTGGGCGTCTCCTTCGCCTCAATACGTGTTACTCCTTTTTTTCCTTTTTTCGACATTGAATTTTTTTTACGACGTCTCCGCATCAATAATTATAGCGGCGTTAATTGGTTTTGGTTTGTTGGGATGGCCCGGTATTCCTGTTCTCACTTGCAATAGATTATCGCATGTTACCTTCGGGTTCGCATTTCTATACCGGCGGCGGCAAAAGTCAAGGTTCTATTTTTGGCGTTCTAAAATAAAGAGATGGACTATCTAGCCAGCCTCATCGTCCTATCGCTCACCTCTATACCTTGAGTCTTATTCGGGACGATAGATCTCGCTTCGTCGGTAACCCTTTTCTGCGCCCTGTGGACGAGGCTGACTATCCGTTCGCCTCGGCCAGTCTAAGTCGATACTTGACGCTCTCGCCAGGGTAGGGTTGGGTTTCCTGTTCCTTTGTCTATGGTTACTCACGATTCTTACGTTAAATTCACACGAATATCTGCTCGAGGCTGGCACAACTGATTAGCCCGGGTTCTTTTTGAGCAGTCCTGTGGATATCTCGGATACTCCAGGGGGTATTTCCCACAGTCTATGTTCCTACTGTACAGTTCATAGACTGGAATATGTCTTTCAATATGTTTGAGGGCTCATAGGATACGTTTTTTTTTTGGGTTCTTTTTTTTCTCGGGTTGAAATAAAGAAAATGGGCACTGGTCCAGCTGTAGGACGCAGCATTGGGAGTGGATAAAAAATTGGGCTGCACTATTTGTTTTCTACTCCGTGTGAATCATATCGGAGCGACTACCCAGCAGCCTTCGCGAGATGTGGATGTCTTCGCCTTTGTCCTAATCAGCTTAGTACTGAGTGGCAATCCTGGCACCTGACACGCCTCGATGTCTACGTCACTTGGCCAGGTGATTGGAGGGGATCGTGTATTAGACTTCCTACTGGGTTGGTTCTAATACTCGTTGGTTTTCCTTCACTACTACTGTTCTTGCCCCTTTTGAGTGGGGTATTTCGATTGAATTCTTTTCATGATTACCATGACTGGAGCCTAGGTGAAAGGCCAAGTAAAGGGGTACGGATCGAGGGTTTGGGGTCTGAAGGAGGTTGTTAGCGATGCTTCGCACATATAGCCGTATGGTATGGTTTGGCTGTCTTGAAGTTTGCATGGCTATAGGCGTCCTCGATACAGACAACGAGGTGCTATGGTTGACAGCCCATCGAGGCTTTTTTCGACTTATTGTTACGTACAATTGATAAACCTAGACTAAAAATATTAAACTGCAAACTTCACGAATATGTGTCTTTTGTGATGTCGGATATATTGACCCGTCAAATAGTTAATTGAGTTAGATACTGTTTAACTGGAAGATTGAATTTCGTATATACCTTAGGTACTTACCTCATAAGCAAGATTTAATGTAGATGATTTAAATAATTTAGGCGTGTTGGAACTTCTGACAGTGCATCACTTATCGATAAAGACTCGTAACAAGATCCTAACGTCAATATTCTGTGATCTTCGACTTGAGACTGGGAAATGAATCTTCAAAATGAATCTTTAAGGATTCGGGTATAACTTAGGCAATCAAATAAAATACTTGATGAGCTTTCTAAAAGATACATGATACTTCTTGATTCTCATTTGCGCATTTACACGCCAAAACACCTACTGAATAACAAGTGGAATGGCCTCCCGTTTCGTGTCAGGCGGCACTATCGCCGGCGACGACGGTGAACCGCAGCAGCCCGCATCCGTGACACCTTCAAGCAAGGTGCAGGAGGCCCCGGAAACACAAAAATGGGACAAGGAAACCATGAAGAGAAACGCCGAATGGGAAGCCGTGCAACGCGACCTCGAAGCTGACCGCCGGAGACGCGAAGAGGCGCGTAGGGCACAGGTCGAGGGGGGTCCCGGTGGGGAAAATAAGACCTTGTATGATATTTTGCAGGCGAATAAAGGTACGATTTTATTTTATCTGGTACTTTTATTCTTTTTTCTATTTCATATCTTTCTCGAGCTCCTATGACGGCATTGTATTGTATAAGTGAGAGAAGGAAAAAGCTAAAATAAGGGCGAGATGCCCCGGGATGTTAGCGGCTAAGCAGGCGGCATTCGAGGAGAAGACTCGTATCAGCAATCAGTTCCGTGCGCTGGACGACGACGAGATCGATTTTCTGGAAAGCATGCGTGACGAGCGGCGCGTTGAGGAGGAAAGGGTTAAGCGTGAGACGGAGGAGAGGTTGGCTAGCTTCCGACAGGCACAGAAGGCTACCTCCGGGACCGCTGCCCCTGCCGGGGATTCTGGAGATGGAGATGGAGATGTCGTGCATGAAGGTATCGGCGATGATGTCGGGACATGGACTGGCGGGGCAAAGAAGCGAAAGAGGCCGGATAAGGAGGTAAAGACCATTGTTAAAGGTGTGAAGAGGAGAGCTAGTGGGTCGGAAAAGGAAGTTGAACGAGCGGCCGCACCGGATACGAGGCTGGAAGGGTCGAAGGAGAAGAAGGAAGCAAAGCCTATACCGAATACCATGGCAACCTCCGACCTGAAGTCTTCGAAACCCATAGAGGAGAAAACAGTGCAGGAGGAGCCAAAACCAAAACCAAAACCGAAGCTTGGCCTGGTGGATTATGGCTCTGACGAAGATGACGATGATTAATACACCCCAGCTAAAGCTTCATAATGGCTATTCGCTTACCGCCGCTATAATTTCCTACGGCTCTTGCCTCAACATAGGTTAAGGCCTAATATGAACTGGGGGCTGGGGATGTCTACCGGGATATGTGTACGATAGGTGAACTGAGCGTCTGCCATGGGAACCAACGAACAAATCAGAGATACTGATAATTGAAGCTCACGACTACGTTGGTAATACATACCAACAGACAATGTCACATGTACAATGTACGAATAATTGGCTGACAAATAGTGCTCCGAAGATAGAGTTGTGAATTTTTTAATGTAAACATAATCACATGGTCGTCATATAATACCCTACATACACGGCGTAGCACATCCCAACGTTGCCCCCCCTTACCACCACCTTCTATGCAGATCCGATGCGTTGCGGCATGTTAGTACAGGCAGAGCCGTATGCCGACCGGCAATGCACGATGAGGTTATCCTTTTATGCATACTATTATATTTTACATTTGAATCCCTGGCGATTGCTAGACCCAGGCAAGTCTAGACAAGCGATTAGGACCGACGCTCACTCGTCAGGCCACGAGGGATTAGGCTCGGGCTTCGAGATGGCCCAGCGGTACAAGCTCCGGAGACTGCCCTTGATCCAACCCTCTACCTCCTCTTCTGGGACCACGATTTCCCTGGCGCGAGCCTCCTCCTCGGGCTGGATCTCGAAGCGCCGCATGCGCATCGCGATTCGCGGATCTAGCACTATGGGTCTCGTCCATATCTTCTCCTGAGGTGTGGCGGAAACCTTCTTTTCTTCGCCTTCCTTGGGTTTATCTTCTTTCCATATAGCCTTGGGCCAATCCCTCTCCTCGTGTTCGAGAACCGTCTGTTGCTCTGCCCGTGTTAGGTCTGCGTCCTCGCGGAACTCGCGTGCCGCTGCGAGGCATGCGGCTGCAACTTCGCGGCCTATGTCGTCGGCTAGGTGGCGGCGGTTAAGGAAACGTCTTAAACGTATGAAGGTGTTGGAGAAGCCTAGAATGTGGGGGAATGGTATGGGTGCTGAGGGGGAGAATTCGGCGGGGATAAGCATCGGGAGGGGGGATGTGGGATAGTCGTTTGGAGTGTTGTATGGTGGTGGTTGCGGTGGTCTCTCGGGCTTCTCCTCAGGCTTCGGCTCTTGCTTCTCTCCATCACTTCCTTCGCCGGCCGGCGTCTCCTCAGCTTTCTTCACTTCGGGTTCCGGTAATACGGGCGGCGTGAGGGGTCCTAACCAGCCCTCATGTATACCCCGGACGTACTCCTTCCACGTATGTCGTCCGATCACAATGTCACCTCGGATACCTTGCCACTCGGGTGTCGCATTCTTCTTTCTTATCTCCCGCACTATCTCCTCCTTGGTCTGCCCCTCTGTTTCCGGCTGTCTCGTCCGTCGTATCCTCTCAGCTACCGCAGCTCTAATATCGCCCTCTTTCCTGCCCTGTACAAACTCCCAGTCTAACCCTGATGCGGCCAATACCGGCTTTACGTATTCGGTGAAGTGATCCTGCGCAACACGGAGACCGTCACCGGGGGGACTCTCGAGAAATATGGTGAGTTTTCGTGGTAGCTGGGTCGGGTTCGTGATGGGTTCGCGCGCGAGGTGGGAGACTGCTTTAGACCACCGGGCGGTTGCGCGCTTCTTCTCGCGCTTGTCGTATATTATGGCAGCGGAGAATGATCCTGTAATGGCAAAGAATATCATCCAGTTGCGAGAGGGAAGCTTCTTAGGTAGCCCTGGTATTCCCATCATGCGGAAAGCTGGATTGGGTGTTGGAGCCTTGTAAGTAGCCCCAGAGCTTGTCGCTGTCGCCGCCGCCGCCTGTCACAGGTTAATAAGACAGCTTATTTTGGGTTATAGACTTTACTTACAGGCGGGGCAGACGCTGAAGAAGCGCCCTGGACGGGGGGCTTTTGGTCCGCCATGGCGAATTATCCTCGGATTTTTTGTATATGAGCCACAATCCCGAGAAGGAATCTTGAAATTTGCTCGAAGTTCATCAGATGCGGCCGATAACAAAATTTCGATGGGTCGGATCTATGTAGCTCCTATCGGTGAACCCCACGTTCACCTACCGGTTTAGGTAAGTTCCAGCCAATCAAACGAGTTTATTGGATAGTGGATACTTAGGTACTCTGGTACTTGATAGAATGGGATATCTGCATGGAAATTCTGGATAACTGGCTCGAGCATTCTCCGGTATTAAAATGCAAATATGTATTAGAGGCCATAGCGAGAAACTTGAGAGACTTGGAATAATATGAAGGGTCAAATTATTATCAAGGTCCCCTGCTGAGTAAATTAGGTGAAGGGGTTTAAGACCGTTGTTTGATAACTTCTTATTACTCTGTTGTATTAACTGTTCTTACTCGGATTGTGCATAGGCTTAGCTTATCGAGCTTCGAAGACAGGTACCAATGTATTTGCCGTACCTACCTGGGACAAGAGGTAAGTACAGACATTTTCGTTATGTAATAAACTAATTACTAAACATCAGGAAAATAAGCCAAATGTCATTGTCGTCTTTTTAAAGTAAACATGCATTGCATGTGATAATAGGACAAGATATGGGGTGATGTGTATGTATGTGCGTCAGGGACGTTAATCAAGCTTGAGTTTCGAGTTGCTTGCGGACGCACATGCAATCACGACCTTACAATTCTTAGCTTGGAGCGGCTACGTGCATAGTCTCCACATATATGCACATGGCAATGCTTTAACAGATAAACGAAGCACCCTGACCCTAACATGGGAGCGCCCGGGGTCTTGGCACGCTAAACCTAGAATGGCTAATCGCCTGTGGATAGCGCCCCTCCCCAGGCAGTTGGCATGCTAGCGAGTGTTTTCAGGGGCTTCGTCGCACCCACTTGCCGTCCTCTTTAGGGAATTACCTTGACCAGTAGCATTTTATTCCATTCGAGGGTTGGGATCCATCCAGACAACTTCATATAATTCTGAAAAATCCCCCCCTCGCACACTCTCTTTACCTCTATCCTTTACTGGGTCAGGAAATCAAGTCATCGTTCAGTTGCTTCAGTTGCGTACAGATCATTTCGTCAATGCGAAAAGGGGAATACCTGGAATTTTCAAGTTGAATTCCAGTGGTGCGGTACCCCTCTATCAACTGCGGCGCACTTTCGCGTTGCTAGCAATCGTTTAGCAGCAATCGTTTAACGAGCCGCAACAGACAGTCGCTTTTCTTGAGACATTGATCAATATTGCGGTGAACTCGATATTCAAGGGACCAATGAAGTTTTAGCTACCCACAACAATATTGTTGTCATCCATCTAACCCAACCAAGCTACCCTTCTCGGTTACCAAGACTTCACTTCTTCTACTCGTTACCTCGATTTACATACACTCACTCCAGGTTAAAGTCTTTCTTAGGAAATACTTTACAAGTCAACTTTGAAGCAATCGCAACTAGGATGGACCCTAATAACCGCCTCTATCTTAACTTCAACAGTAACGAGCAGCGGCTTGGTTCCTCAGACCGCCAATATCCTACCACGCCCTCTACCTTCCCTCAGCCCGTCTTCCCAATGTCTTCGCAACAGAATCTTGCTGCCCAGCAGTCTCAAGCTCCTCAGCAGTATGCTGGTGGTTATGCTCCCCAGGGCAGCTATTTTGCGCCTAACCCATATCAGGCTCCCGCCGACTACGGTAGTGCCCAAGCTACAGGAGCATATCAGCCTCGATCCAACACTCCGGGGACCAATGATCCCAATGTCGGCCTGGCTCACCAGTTCTCCCACCAGAATCTAGGAGGTGCCGGTAGAGGTGGTTCCTATGGAGCGCGAGGTCCTTCGCCAGGTCAGCGACCCCGAACTTCAGGCTCGTCTGGCCAGCAACCTGGTTATAACTATGCGAATGCTCCTCCCATGCCCGGTCAAGGTTCCCGCTACCCAGATTTTCAGCCTGCGCCCGAGCGAAACCCCGAGAAATATGGTCTCAATGCAAACAACAACCAGAAAAAGTGTTCACAGTTAGCTGCGGATTTCTTCAAGGATAGCGTCAAGCGCGCTCGCGAGCGCAACTTACGGTATGTCATTATAGTTAAGCCTAAGATCGATTGCTACCATTGATGTTGATAAGGATGCTAACTGCTCAATTACGAATAGACAGAGCGAGATGGAACAGAAACTCTCAGAACCTAACCAATCCTCGTCGAGGCGCGAACAGATTTGGCAAAACGGCGGCAAAAAGGAAGCACGCTATTTACGGTTCTTGCGAACTAAGGACAAGCCTGAGAATTATACTACAGTTAAGATCATCGGAAAGGGTGCTTTCGGAGAAGTCAAACTTGTCCAGAAGAAAGCCGACGGCCAGGTCTATGCGATGAAGTCTCTAATTAAGACCGAAATGTTCAAGAAGGATCAATTAGCCCACGTTCGAGCTGAGAGAGACATCTTAGCCGAGTCTGACAGCCCCTGGGTTGTTAAGCTCTTCACGACGTTCCAGGATGCCAACTTCCTCTATATGCTGATGGAATTCTTGCCTGGTGGAGATTTGATGACGATGCTTATCAAGTACGAAATCTTTTCCGAAGATATTACACGATTCTATATAGCAGAGATCGTGCTAGCTATCGAAGCCGTTCATAAGCTTGGTTTCATTCACCGGTATGATTACAATTCGGTTATTCATAAGTACTTCCATTACTGACTAGGTGGCATAGTGATATCAAACCTGACAATATCCTTCTTGATCGGGGCGGACACGTCAAGCTTACCGATTTCGGTCTATCTACAGGTTTCCACAAGCTTCACGATAACAACTACTACCAACAACTTCTACAGGGCAAATCGAGTCGGCCTAAGGATCGGAACTCGGTTGCACTTGACCAGATTAACTTGACGGTCAGCAACCGTTCCCAAATTAATGACTGGAGGAAGTCTCGAAGACTGATGGCGTACTCAACCGTGGGTACCCCTGACTATATCGCACCCGAAATCTTTACAGGGCAAGGTTACACCTTTGATTGCGACTGGTGGTCGTTGGGTACCATCATGTTCGAATGTCTTGTCGGCTGGCCGCCGTTCTGCGCGGAAGACAGCCACGACACATACCGGAAGATTGTCAACTGGCGACAATCACTTTATTTCCCAGACGATATCACGCTTGGAAGAGAGGCTGAGCACTTAATCCGAAGGTAAGTTTTGTACTGTGTCATTGAATTTACATCAGCTAATAAATATCCAGTCTCATCTGCAATACTGAGGTGCGACTTGGAAGAAGCGGGGCTCAGGAGATAAAGAGCCATGCGTTTTTCCGCGGTGTCGAATTCGATAGTCTTCGACGTATTCGAGCTCCATTTGAACCTCGTCTAACATCAGCCATCGACACAACCTATTTCCCAACAGACGAGATCGATCAAACGGACAATGCGACGGCTTTGAGAAACCAGGCGATCGCAGGTGGAAAACCAATTGAAGAGTCACCCGAGATGAGCTTACCGTTCATCGGGTACACGTTCAAGCGGTTCGATAACAACTTCCGTTAAGCGTGTGGTTGATTTACCTAGTCTCGACTATTCGGCCCGTTCCGAACCTAGTTGGTTTGTGATCTCTAAGAGCTGAGGTTAGGACAATTGAGGATTTGGACTTGGAGGGGGTCGTGGCTTAGGCCAATAGATTGTCTGGCATATCCCCGAATCCAGGAAATAATGTTGCGGTGAGACCTGGTAGTCCCGTGCCGAAGAAAAAAGAAGAAAAAAATATTGAGCCACATCTCTGAAATGAAGACTTGGTAGTCTGATTACGTTAATATCTTGGCCGCTAACTCATGAGACGATACTGCGTTTGTATTTGCGATGTTTTTGATGCGTGATGAACTAGATGACATAGCAGTAAACTACTTACGAGTAGTTGGTCAACGTGGCTACTGAACGGTTACTATTATCTTGTCTCTACTGTGAGCTGTGTGTAAATACCTTGCTATCCTAAATGAAAGTGTAGTTGCTGTAGCTGTAGATTAATCATTATTTTATTTTACGACTTCGTACCTTCAAACTGGCCTGCTGGCATGAAGATAACAATAAAAAGGGGGGATGATTACGTAAGTGCAAGTTTACTTGACAGCTGTTAGCAGCCGGCAGTCATTATCTTATCTCCCTAGCTTCCAAACGCCATCAATCAATCAATCAGAACTTAGCTTCTCGCTCCCAGTCCCATAATTACACGCTTCCATTCTTATACCAACTACTAAACACCAACGAAGTTCCCATTCAATCCGCGCGCAAAGTCTTAACGCGACGAAATAGCTCCAGAATCGGCATATAAATACTATACATATCAAATAAGCAACACGCGGGAAGATACGAAATGGATTACCAGAACCGCGCCGGTTCCAAGTTCGGCGGCGGTGGTGTCGCCTCTCACAGCGCCACCAACGCCGACCGACGAGAGCGTCTACGGAAGCTCGCTCTCGAAACAATCGACCTCGACAAGGACCCTTATTTCTTCAAGAACCACGTCGGCTCATTCGAATGTCGCCTATGTCTAACCGTGCACCAAAATGACGGGTCCTACCTCGCCCACACCCAGGGCAAGAAACATCAGACGAACCTCGCGCGCCGCGCCGCCCGCGAGCAGAAAGAAGGCAAGAGCCAGATCGACCCCAACACGGGACTGCCCGTCGGCGTGGTGGGCGCGGGCTTCGGGGCGGGCATGGTGCGGCGCAACGTGGTCAAGATCGGGCGGCCGGGGTACAAGATCACGAAGGTGCGGGACCAGGTGACGCTGCAGCAAGGGCTGCTGTTCCAGCTGCAGTATCCGGAGATCGCGCAGGACGTGACGCCCAAGGTGCGGTTCATGAGCGCGTTCGAGCAGCGCGTCGAGGAGCCGCCCGACAAGAACTTCCAGTACATGCTCGTGGCGGCGGAGCCGTACGAGACGTGCGGGTTCAAGCTCCAGGCGAGGGAGATCGATCGCTCGGGGGACCGGTATTGGACGTGGTGGGACGCGGATTTGAAGGAGTTCTGGATCCAGGTTATGTTTTTGACGGAGAGGGAGGAGAGGTATGTTGGTGTGCCGGGGTTGCCGGGTCGGAGGTGATTGGGTTGTGTTGGGGTTGGAGATCGATTCTATGAGTGGTGTGGATGAGGTGAATACCCAGTAGTATTAGGGAAGATTGGAGAGACGAGTCGTGCAAAAGGGGGGAAATACAGTCGAGGTGATAGTCTGGTCTCGACGATAGTTCTACGCTTTCTCGACCACTTTCCCAATCATGTTAAGCCTCACTCTACGATGGCTGACATCCGACAAATTCGTTCCCTACCTGTGTAAGTGGCTTGTTCGAGGGATACCCTTGAGAGGATATGGGTGATGCTATTATGTACTAATACGAAATAGACTTACGTCGATGATATTTAATACGTCGTTTTTAAGGCCTAGGGAACAGCAACTAGATAATAAGAATGATATCTAGCAGTACTTACGACGAAAATGCATTTAATGGAGTCAAAAATCCTGTTCCGTCTTGAAGTATACATAGGTACCTAGGCAACTTGTGTATTGAATAGGTGCAGTGTTATCTCTAAGCCTGTTGCAGGGGTAACACATTCTAGCCGCACGGGATCTTATAAAGGTCCTGTTAGACATTACTATCTATCGGACATTTATAAAATAATAGAATAAAATCTATTACCAAATAACCTTTTAATGGTATAGCGGTTTGTTCAATAGGTCCCATAGCAAGTGATGTCTCCTGATCAGAACTTAGACAGCATCTCATCTTCAATATACATACACATTCTTTCGTTGATTTTCCACAGCATCGTACAATATTCCTGTCTCACCAGTTAACTCTGAATCTTTTCAGAGTGTAGTGATATCATTAGCTGTGTCTAGGGCCTACGTCAGGCCCTTGGATAGTTGGAGTGATATGCCATACTCTGCAAGGGGCACCAGATTCTGTTCAGCATAGAACTCTATATAGGTATCTAACGTAGTAGCAGCACCGAGTCCCCTATTAGCCAAGCCGAGATAATGGCCCACCAAGCTAGATGCATGCTCTCGGCTTTTTTTTAGTTAATACCTCAGACCATCTTGACTCCTTCCCCTTGGATATCTGCCAGCTCAATACCTTTGGCTTTATTAATCAACATTGGGGAGAGAAAATGCCAAAGTGTACAAGCGTGATTTTGTATTGTGAACGGAGCGTACGTTAATTGTGGCACGACCATCCATTCGGGAGTAGCAATATTCAACATGATTGATATAGCTATCACGTAACAATAGCGAGGATATGGGGGATATAGCTGCGGTTCGAAGATCCCTAGCTGATGGAGCTGTATACTGAGTGCGCCCAGCATCATCGACGAACACGCGAATGAGCATCCAACCTGTTGCCGGCGCAAGCGTTTAAGAAGGTCATATACACAAGTAAAAACCTGACCTAGGAGCTTCTCCCTCTCCTTATCGATTCTATCTATCGAAGCAGTTAGTATGTTGTCTACGCAGACGCGATTGGATAGACTATAGATACTTACCGGCTACTGCTGTGATTGGCAGGCCTAGCGTTGGAAATCTACCTTTACAGTATTGTATAGCGGCTAGAGTTGCGTTCCTGAATGATTGCTCTTTGCGGAATACTTGAGCAACCAGAATCCATAGAATAGTATCCCTATTGAACGCGTTTTCGTCAGGATTAGGTATCGGATTAGGTATCTTGTCTATCCATACATCCGACCACACCATAACTGCCTCATGGCATTGGTAATAGTCGACTAGTACGGCAACTTTGGCGATTTCTTCAAGGGTCATTGATTTAGGGACTTTGAAATTGTGACCATGGATAATTCGCATTAGAAGGAGCAGAGAATTCTCATCCCAATCCTCAGCGTCCACGCACAGGCGACCATCTGGAGATGTAGGCGTTGCTTCTTTCCAAGGACCTCGCAGAAGATTCTTAAAGTATCCAGAAGATAAAGAGAGATGTTTTGACGAGAGCAAGAACTGAACTTTAGGTTTTGAACTTGTAGGTTGGTCTGGTATGGGTAACCCTTGCTTTTTCTCGGAAGTGGCTTCGGTTTGGGTTTGGGGAGTAGCCTTCGCCGGTTCGGATTTCTGAGGCTCAGTGACAAGTTGCCCCCAAAAAGAAAATATTTGCTTCCTATACCAGTATTCGTCCCATACAGCAAATGGTGCGTTCGGGTTGTGAAGTGTAAGCAGGACATCGCCTTCAGGATCAAGCTCCCAAGGCGCTACGACCGGATTCGCCATGGTGCGAAATATTATTATCTCCTCTCAGGTTTGTAAGGGAAAGGTGGGAAATAATTGTTATTGCTCGTGTACCTAGGTACAATACCTAAAGTAAACATCGAAATACGAAGCTCGAGCCAACCCAGCAACAGGTTAGTACTTCTTAGCAACCAACCATTAGGCACACAAGTGACAAGAGGTTTGGGATGCCCCGCACAAACGCCTTCATCATGCGTAAGGCGCTTAATCGTCTAACCTAGACCAATAACATCTCTTGAAAATTAATTGGTTGTCAAGTATCCGTACATGATATACACTTCGACTTATCCCTTCATGAACATATAATTAGACTATCATTTGATCAGGTGCTTGCCTTGTAGGTATTGAGTTAAGATGAGCACTTCTTGAAAACAGTTATGAGTTATATAAGAAACTTGGCCCTATGAGAAAGAGCTCTAAAGCCGGACCTCCGGGGGTGGGCGGATATCCGAGATGGAAGTTTTTTGCGGTGGCTTACCTAGAGCTTAATGAACGATTGACGATGAAATATTGTTATTTAATTACTTAAAGCATTCATCTCATCATGAGAATACTCTGCCTTCACCCTGATAGCCAGAATAAGGCAATTTTGAAATCAGAATTAGGTACCTATCTATTCATGCGTTATTACCACTATGGTACATATCTCCCTCGCTAACCCTTTGAGTAGCTTCGTTATTACTAAAGTTGCAATATTCAAACCCAGACCTCCTATTTGAATTTGTCAACGGTCCTTTACAATATTCAAGCTTACCAGCAGAAAAGTCGTCACCCCATGAGGTACATCGCTATAAGTTCTATGAGGCTGAAGAAGTCGAAGATATTCGTAAAGCTGGCGAGTGGCTAGCTAACAAGTTGGACAATGACGGACCCTACGATGGCATTTTAGCAGTTTCTCAAAGCGCCGCTGTTGTTTCTAGCTTCTTATTATACCGGCAGTGGTATGATCATGAGTTACCGCCAGCTTTCAAATTTGCTATTTTTATCAACGGTGGCATTCCGCTCAAGATTCTAAAGGACCTCGGAGTGCCCGTCTCAAACGAGGCAGAAGGCGTGGTAGCGGAAGCAAAATTCCAGCGAAACCGAGGGCTTGGTCCTTTACCAACTCATACGACCAAGGCGCGCCGGGCAGTGTTCAACTCGGACGATTGCTTTGGGCTAAACCTGAACAAAATTCCGTTGGAGTTGAAAATAAGAATACCGACCGTACACGTATGGGGTGAGAATGACCCTTTGTTTCCGACTTCAGTTCAACTCACGGGGCTCTGCGACCCATATATTAGGAAGATACAAATACATAAAGGGTCTCACGAAATGCCCCGCGATGAGGAAGGATTATCGGAGTTGGTATCACTGATTGAGTGGTGCATCCAGCGTGCGACATGGCCTGGTCAAATGCAACTGTAGAATTTACTGATCGGGATTGAGATGATGGCGAAATTGCATACAATACTTTTATAGCACTTCATAATTGATTTGACGGAATAACGGTGTTGCATACATAAAACATTGTTGAACGTTCTTGGTAGAATCCCCCCTTTTGACGCAATTTATTGTGCGGCATGTGATGGGAAACTGATAGGAGTAATGACTCCCCCTGTCTTAGCCTAGGTCGTCATCCGAGTCACCCCAACCCAGCCCGAATGATCTCTGACTTGGCGATCTTGAAAAGTATATGGGCACGACATTTCAATAGTACTGCTTTCGTTTATCCATCTCTCTTAATTTCTTTCTCTATAAAAAGAAATCCTAAGTGTGCTACGGAATTCAGGCCCTGAAGATATTGGGACTTGCGTTGCATGCAAAGCGGAGCCGCTGGCTTGTTACGGTTAGCATACCTGTTCGAAGTTGGTGTACAACTTGTGATCTTCGACGATCTTTAACGACTGATAAGAATTACACCGTCGGTATCGATTTTCTTACTTATGATATAATATCATGAAAGAAAAGGTAGAACGGTAAACGACATTGTACGTAAGAAGGATAGGACAAACGATCTAAAGATGGTAAGTTGCTGCGGAACGACCGAGGCAAGGGGAAGTCCTCTTGATATGGAGTCAGCCAAATATTCTACAAGGTAGGGTTACTATCACACTGGAAGCGCCGACTAACATCTCCTTGTCGTCCACTTCGACGTCACTGCTTGGTACTGCTTACATTCGACTCGTAGTCTGACCATGCTATTGTCGCTTTTGGATAGCGAGTGTTCTTTTCTATGAGATCTCGTACCTGGCTTCTCTCCTAAGGAGCGACCCTGACTGAGAGATCAACGTCAGCAATTCCTCTTCAAGTACTCATAAGGTTATATAATTATGTCAGCAACTGGCAACTAGTTCTATCAGTGTGATGAGAATAGACGTGAGACAGATTGAACCTATTCAAAGCGAGGCGATGACTAGATGCAGACCATGTAACGGTGCATGACCCATCGGTCAGGTGAGACGACTCATAGGGCCCTTGCCTGTTAGGTTTAATACAATATATACGCTACCATATATAAATAAGATTTCATTGTCCCCTGCCTTGAGGATCGGTATTCATAGCATTTCAAAGTCCCAGATACTGCTTCATTCAAGGTTTGAGACGAGGAAATAATATCTCTTGGCAAGTCTCGCAACGATGTCTGATATCAAAGACGTCCACTCTCCTCTCCTAAGTCCAGGGTCGAGGACTTCGGTTCCTCAGATAAGCTCGCCCTCTGTACCCAGAGCATCTAAATCTCCCTCCTCGCCCCAGAAACCAAGCATACCGAACCCAACCCCGACTGATCCTGCACCCGTAAAGACGATCACCAATCTATCTTGGGGAGCCCCGGCAGGCCTTGCTATCCGTGGACCTAACGATGAGAACCTCGTTATCTTTAGAAAAGCGTTGGGAATAAACTATGCCCGCGATAGTACCGAGAGCGGTACTCTCGAAGAAGGGCGCAACACCGCGGTTGGCATATACAAATCCGTAATTCAAATTCAACAGACCAAAGCTGTCCAGAACGCCCTTCTCACTGCATTCCTCTACCTTTGCTACTTCGCTCAGATCGTCATCGGCGCGGCGCTGACGGCCATGGGTCCAAACTCTGGACGATACGAAGTTCTTATTACTGTGCTCGGAGCCATCAATACGGTCCTGGCTGGTATCTTAGCTCTGATTAAGGGGTCTGGACAGCCGCAGAGGCTGGAGAAGGACCGTGTAGGGTTTAGGAGGCTACAGGACTGGATTGAAGAGACGGAAGCGTTACTTGCTGTGGGCGTCATTGGACGGAACAGAAAGGAGGTTGGCTTGCTGGTTGAAAGCGCCTTTAAACGGTACAACGCAGCAAAGATGAGCGTGGAAAATAACAGTCCCGACTTCTACGTCAACCAGCCGGAATCAGGCGACGACATGTCGGATTCTGCCGGGAAACCATTGCGGCATAATGGACTTTGATCTGAGAACCCTAAGAGCCTAGCTGGACGAATAGACAGGGATATTGGCCTTCACTAAATTTGGAGAGTCTTGTCAGGCCACAAAGGGGGTTGATAGGGGGCGTTCCGGATGACTGATGACTTAGATGGATTACATTATTTAGACGCAAGTGGCGATAGATATTTGGCTTTAAGTTGTACTTCTACACATTCTTAAAAAAATTCGATGCGTAACTATATTGTCTAATAGACGTCTCTGAAATCTGATATTGGTTGTTACACGCGTACCTGCGTAACTGTAGGTACGACATATGCAGTCAGTCCGGGGTGGCTAAGAGTCTAGTTTATTGGGTTTTGGATGTCGTCAGCGTGTACGTTTAAGGGGGAAAGATATTACTATTGGTAAGATCGCGGCACTCATATCGTCCTTTATAGTTTTGGCTGACCTCAGAGATTGTAAGACCAGACTTTAATCATCCAATATCCACGATACGGCGTAAGCTTTTTGTACGCCGTATTGGGGTTCGTTGCATATAATAGTGCTGACAAGTCGGTAGTGCGTTGATGTTCTCAGCACTACCTATTAGAGAGCCTCGTTTATCTAAGCCCACGTGAATAATAGCATACCTATCTTAACCCTTGAGCTATTTCTCGAAGTTTTACTCCTAAGGATGCCTATATCCTCTTTGTATGTTGACATTAGTTTCAACGTCCTCGCCCACTCTCTTAGATCTATGTAGAATGGGATTCAAGTTAAATCCTGTATGGTTAACACTTTAAAATGGAATTATCTCCCTATAGTTTCTAACAGAATTGACGAATCTGGAGATGTTGTTGGGTTCCCATCTACCCACTAGAAGATAATCGCCGTAGAGAGAAGAAGGAATCTAAGTTTCCTTATATCGAAAGCAGTATAAGGCATATGATATGATATATATATAATTCTATGTCGATAATTGTAGTAAAGATAAGGTTGGCTTTTTACGTACAATGTAAACCCCAAAGTCATTTAAGGGGGTAGCTATGACAGGACGTTCTGCCCCATTTTTGTTAAGGCTCTAACATTTTCTTGGAGCCCTGAGGGCTTAGACTTTCAGCTCTATCGGCCCATTGGAAAATGATTTGTCGGCTTAATACCAATAAAAGCAATGATCTATTCTATTACAATGCAGCCTTGTATTTGCGATAGCACATAGCAGAGGTGATGTGTTGTACAGTTCAACACGCATTGTGGCAATGCTCTCGGTGCCCAAGAAGCTACCCAATAGAGGCCGTCTTGGACTTGCCGGCAGTGCTGACTATCGACAATGCCACACTCACGGCCACACCTCAATAATTACTTGGCCTTTAGATTCTATACCCCCCTGATATCCTTCTTCAATTGTTGCTCGGGGTATCTTACTTTTCAAATCTAATCTAGCTATTTCAGTGATCAGGTACAAGTCTAAGATGGCCGAGATCGCTGGGCTTGTCTTGGGAGTAGCTGGCCTTGTGGGTGTGATAGGCGCATTTAGGGATGCCATAGACCTATTCAATGACTTTATGAGCTCACGAGAATTCGGCCGAGACTACGAAATACTGGAGACCAAGTTTGATATTGAGAGGACTATTTTATTACAGTGGTCCGAGCAAGTAGGGCTCTTACGACCGGACTACGATCGAAGACTAGACGATGTCAATATTCAGTGTGCTATCGCTCGCATCTTAGGGTGCATTAAACTACTAATAGGTGACGAAGCCCAGCTGAAAGATCGTTATGGCCTAGGCAAGGCGGATGAGCAGCGGCCTGATAATGAAACGGGGTTGGTGGGCGCTAGACACACCAACTACGTGGCCGTGATTAGCGGCCATCGAATGGCCAAGTTTGTTAAAGAATTCGAGGCGATGAAACTACGAAGTAATATACGCGATAAAAAATCGACAACGAGCAAGCGAATTCGTTGGGTTGTCCGGGATAAGGCGAGATTCGAGGAATTAGTCAAGGAACTAAACCACTTCACTACGAAGCTTACGCAGATTGTTCCGATATCTGACAATCAAACAACTAGTCGGAGCGCAACCGACAAAGATGTCGCTACCATTAGGGATCTTAGAGGGCTCAAACTCGTCCACGAAGCAGCAATCGGAAGTAGAGTGGTAATTGCTGAATTAACTCAGGAGCATATCACACGTACTTGTCAGGAGCAGATTCTTTGCCGGTTGTGGTTCAGAACTATCGATGAAAGGAGGGAGTCAATTTCCGAAGCGCATCATAAAACATTACGATGGGCACTTGCACCACCCGAGGGGACTTACCCGTGGGATGATCTCTCGGGATGGCTTCAATCTGGCTCGGGGATCTACTGGGTTTCTGGGAAGGCCGGGAGTGGCAAGTCGACGCTGATGAAGCACATAATCCAGCACAAACGAACAAGACAACTCTTATCTAGATGGGCCGGCAACACGAGATACTTCCTAAATCATTATTTCTTCTATAATATGGGAAATTATGATCAAAAGTCTCAGGAGGGATTATCAAGAACTCTTCTATACCAAATACTCTCTGAATACCCATCTCTTATCTCCGAAGTCCTTCCAAACATGTGGAAGCAACTCTACGACAGCAACGGCGCAGCGAACTTGCCATCTGTTACCGAAACAAAATATGCGTTCCGGGTCCTTGCGACGAAGGCATCACAGATCGGCAAGTTCTGCTTCTTCATTGATGGGCTAGATGAGTTCGTGGGGAACTATCTGGATAGTATAGATTTTCTTAGGGAGCTTGCTACGAACTCTCATATTAAAATCGTGGTTTCGAGCAGACCAATTCCAGATTGCGTTGCCTCTTTCGACGGACTTCCGTCGTTGGATCTGCATCATCTAACACGTGCCGATATCAGGGCTTATGTCGAAGAAACCATCGGCAGTCATAGATATATGCAAGGCCTCTTAGATCGACATCCTGATGAGGCAACGGCCATTATGGAAGACCTAGTCGATAAGTCTTCCGGCGTTTTCCTCTGGGTTATCCTCGCTTGCAGGTCCCTTATTCTAGGGTTTGCAGATTACGATAGAATTCACGAGTTGCGGCGTCGCGTCGATGAGCTGCCACCGGAGCTAGAGGAAATGTTCCAACACATGCTTAATGGAATAAATAAACGCCATAGGGAACAGGGGTCTCGGATGCTGCGAATATGCTTTGTGGCGCGACAGGCGCGGGATAGGCTTGAGTACAGCGACATGACCTTGCTCGGCTTGGCGCTAATAGATGATGATTATACGAGCATGGAGCGAATACCGAAATTAAGCAAAGGCCAGAAGCGCACGTTATGTGAAGAGTTAGAAGGTCGATTAAGGAGTCGAACGGGAGGACTACTGGAGACATATTGGGGGGCGAGTCGCGTCCGTCGGGAAAACCGTAAGCATTGCTTCTGCGGTTCATGGGGTGAAGAAGAGCACGATGTCAAGATCGATGCAAGAGTCATATTTATGCATCGGACAGTCTTTGAATTCTTAAGTAACGAGAAATCATGGGATCTTGAGTGTTTGCGACCTCCCGATGGGCTCCAGGCTGCCTCGGAACTGTCCCTAATCGGTCTCTATTCATCCATGATGAGCATCCCCTATGATTCTGCGCAGGCGACTCGATTCCTCCGCGACGGATTCGAGTGGGGGGCACAATCCGATATTCAGAATCCTGAAAACAAAACCAATATTTTCTGGGTCATCCAGCCCTTCATCGATACTCTGAAATCAGATCCGCAGAACGACGACGATATGCTAGGGCGGATTGCCGAGGCGAATGAATCGTCATCGGTAGTGATAGATCTTGCTGTTGAAGCCGGCGCGATTAATTTTCTTAAGAGCCATCTTCCCTCCCCACTCGATAATCCGTCAAAACTTAAGAAGGATAGATGGTCCGCCTTACTTTATCAGGCTGTTTCTCTCCCCTTGACCTATGGAGGTATCCGAGAGTGGATATATGGTGAAGATACGTATGGGCTGTCATCCGAAATGGCGTCTCTGCTCATTTCTCACGGCGGAGACCCAAATTACGAAGTCTTCGATCCGGTCGAGGCAGCTACAACGACCCCATGGCTTAGTTGGCTGGAATCAACATCGTGGATCATTCTGGACGAAAGCGACCGGTTACTTCTCGCAGAACTTGCCGAGATTTTCCTCCGCTCTGGCGCCGAAATATCGGAAGACTTTCGCCAGTGGGCCCAGAGAGAACTTCAGGAGAGTCGCTACCGTCAGGTTCGGAAAGCGGGTTCCAAGTTACTCGATCTAGCTGAGCAGCTAGAGCTTGAGAACCCTCCGAATTACTCTGACGAAGCTGAAGAATCGAGCGAGGATGAGAGAAGTAGAAAATTCACATCCGGGGGAGTATCGTCGTATTTCAATGCTCAATGTCTACCTAATTTACGGAAGAGGGAAGGCGATGTGCTCCCAGAAGAATACCACAAACGAGCCCGTTTGTTAGGTCTCTAAATCGATACGTGCGATATTGGAAGGGACCTATCTAAACGGCCTCTATTGCGGCGGGATTGGCGATTACGATTGCTGGAAACCTGATGCATCGACCGTAGTGAGCAACCTCTCACGATAAAAAGAAAAAAAGAAAAGAAAAAAAATTACAATGTGTTTTACGTAGCGTTATCTAATTCCATCTAGCAACCCCTATTTTCAAAAAAGTCGCTTCAATAACCAAATTTTATTATTACCAAGTCACTTAACATCACTTAAACAAGTGATAGTTAGGCTTAAACCGGTCAAGTAAGAGTTACATTATCGCAACACCCCGACAGCATAGAATTTAAGCCAACCCTAATCGTGGAAAAATAGGATCCGGCGGGATAACACCCTGTTATTATAGATCTGTTATACCCTGATGGCATTTCTACCAATGCTACCGTATTTTTCTTAATATGCCTGCCTTTTGAATAACCGGTCCGGTTTCTTCTATCTAGTGTAATGATGAATGTGACTACGGTCATTCGATAGATAGTACCCGTACAGATAACTCGCGAATTAGGAAAGTAACCCAGTGAAAGTAGGGATCTAGACCGTAGTCCATGTTCCTAATAAAACGTATAAATCTTGTCTTTTATCCGAACACTTTAAAGATTTTTCTCATGCTGTTGGACTTAAATCTTTATCAAGTAAATTTAGAGTACGCATAGAATAACTACCTACCTACCTATCCACGAAATGTTTTTGGCGGCCTTTTTGGTCGTCTCGTTCTTGGCCTTTGCTGGGCATGCGTCGGCGGCAACATGGTATTTCCTCCGGTACTATCCGGCGTCCGGGCAGAAGTTCACGTCGTTCTCCGGCGATATGACGATCCCGGCTCTGCCGAAAGCTGGGACGTACTACTTGTGGCCGGGACTCCAACCTACTGACAATAGTGGTGTATATCAGAACGTACTTGACGGGAGAAGCGGAACGTGGTGGATCGGATCAGGAGTATGTGATATTGATGAGACCTCATATTTCCCCTTAGCCTGTCCTACGAGTTACGGGTTACGGCTTGTGCAGTATATATCTCGTGTAATGTAAGGATTACTAACCCTCCCGGTCGTAGTGGTGTTGTTCGAACCCTAGCCTTCCATGGGGAAGCGGTTTTAACACTTACGCCAACGAAGAGGTCACGTTTGACAACAAGCTCGACAGTAGCGGCTCGACGTGGACGTCAACTCTAACCCGGCAGTCTACGGGTCAAAAGGTGACGGACAGTTTCCCGTTAGGTAAGTTACAGCTCGATTCAGAGGTCTTCGAATTTGGAAAGCTGACATATCTTCTAGCCGGTAAATCGTTTAACCAAGCATTATTTGCCATCGAGCTGTATATCTGTCCATCATTTATTTAATATTGATCATAAGTGATTAACTTTTTCACAGTACGGGTGTCGACTGGGACTTTGGTCCGCTTGCGTTTTCGAATATCGTAATTGTAAGTGACCAGCTTCAAGCTACCTACCCCTATATTTTTTTCTAGGTTTACCCCTTTTCTACCCCCTTAACATGTCGTTTTCATTCAATGTGGATATTGTCTTGATCTAATTGTAAGCAGACAAGCACCGGTACCGACTCGAGCTGGTGCAACACAAAGCCTGAAAATTACAATGGAGCAAGCGTATACTCTATCAGCGGTCTGAGTGCAAGTGTCAGCGGCAATACGGTGACCTGCAAAATCAATTCTGTGATTCTTCAGAAACCAGCTTAGCTGAAACTAAGTAACTAGTAATTATAAAGGTTGAAGTTTAGAGGAACCTTGAAAGTCTTTTCGGCTTCAGAGTGGGGATATAGTGCCTAATATAATGAACAGCCTGGCTGTCTTTAATGTCCATGTTGGCTGTTCGTACAGCAGTTATCCTCTAAACTGGCATAAAACAGCAAACCTTTTATAATCGGTAGAGTACATGAAGTTTAACGCGATTCATTAAGATAAAAGGAAAAACCCTTGCAATGTACCTCTATAATAAATAGGTATGATTGGCCAATCTAATAATATAGACTTCTTTAGCCAATCTCGATGTATCAATACTGAAAATAGTGGGTTTGCTGTTTTATGCCAGTTGAGGGGATAGAGAATAACAAAAAGATTTCTTAGTCAAATTAATATGAGCTCATTAATATTAGTTTTACTCTAATTTAAGAAACATTAAAGTTTTGAATTTTGACTTCAAAAGTATTAAGGCTGCAAGGAGGAAGAAGTGCCGATCGGTACTATTTGTATGGTCACGTCACTTGACTTAGAGGCGGTGCAATCACCCCCTCCAACGTCGGGCCTTCCTTTTCTCCAACGTCGAAACTGCCATGTGCACCTGTCAGCCTGTACATAGTCGAATTTAATTATTTCCCCTCTAGAATTCCATCAATCATCAAAACTTAGTCTAAACCAACTAAATTTATTTATCCAGTTTCCGTTCAATCAGGACCAGAATCCATTCGACGTCCACTGTTCCCCCAGCTCAATAAGACGGGACAGATCTTTCGCAGCAGACCCTCTTTCGAACTTGGCATTGGTGGTTAACGGGGCGAAAACGGGGCTCTTCTGTCTTATCGGAGCCACCAATCTGTCGTCATCGATCGTAAAATCCCCAGCACAAGCGGATTCGACGAGCACGATTTTCATTTTATTCTTTTTATCTAGTAGTTTCCTCCGATTCTTCCACAATGTCTTGGGAACTCACCCGGCGCCGCTTTTCTCGAGCAGTCAATAGCAAATTCATATTCGACCGCATCGTACGTTAACCTATTCTGCACGATCCTATCCACTCAGCTTTGATCCAACCAACAGCCAACCCGCATCAGCATCGACATATTTATCATCGTCATCACTATCTCTACTCTATTTCTCAGATATTGCCATGATTTAGTTAACATTTTCTGCTTATCACTAACTCTCCCCTCGCATTCAGCCTCTTCTTCATGCTGTCATATTCTTTATCGAGATGGCTATCATGGCGCGCTTGGTGTCGCGTTTCAACGCCTACTATGATGAACGGCCAGGTATTAACCACACAATTTCCACCTAATTCCCTACTGTGAGATGCTAATACGTTCCAAATCAGTACTTACAATGATGGTGACGAACGCCGTCCTTGGAGGTATTGCCGATACCGTAGCGCAAACGATCACATCCGTCCGAGAACGAGCCCTGCGAAAGCCCGGCGGCCTTTCAAAAGACGATACGGCAGCGATCGAGATTCACGAGCTAGATCGCAAGAATCCTTGGACCGAACGGGATCTGATTCCGGATTCTAAGGCTCTCCCACCGCCCTTCGACTTCGAGCGATTGACGAGATTCATGGCGTATGGTTTCTGCATGGCTCCTCTCCAATACAAGTGGTTTAGCTTCCTCTCACGGGCATTCCCTATTACGAAGAACAGCGCATTCGCCCCAGCGATGAAGCGGGTGGCTCTCGACCAGCTAGTTTTTGCCCCATTCGGCATCGCTTGTTTCTTTACAGTCATGACCGTAGCAGAGGGGGGTGGCCGTAGGGCGGTTGTTCACAAGCTTAGGGACATGTACATTCCAACTCTGAAGGCGAACTACATGATTTGGCCTGCCGTACAGGTCATCAACTTTAGGTTAATGCCGGTTCAGTTCCAGCTAGTAAGCTTCGTCCGCTACGATTGTACACTTTGCGAGTCACTTTTTACTAATAATTCTCTATAGCCTTTCGTCTCTACCGTTGGTATTGCTTGGACCGCATACCTTTCGCTGACGAATGCTTCTGAGGAGCCTGAGCAAAAGACGGCTCCTTACTCTCCTAATATTCGTCTTTAGTGAGTAAGTGAAAACGATCGGTCCGTGTGGAAAAGACTACTAGACTCTTCCTTCGCTGTATATCAAATTCGTTGAAACGATGTGTCGGCAGGCGTTACGGCATCGGAGAGCGTGGTCTTGGTGGGTTAATCGATCATCAATCGATATGATCGATATAGTATAGGTGGGTATTGGATGGGCGCATTCGTTCTTGGATTGAAAAGATAAAATTAGCGGCTTGGGTATAACCTTGTACTTACGCTGAGTAGACGCAAGAAATCAGAAGCATTATCTGCATGCATGTCTCGACTAGAGAATGTCATTGGATAATTCGGAGAGAATATTACCTATTATCACATGAAACCGTAATACGATAGTATGACCCAATGATTGATTCATAGGTATGTATGGAGAGCTGAGGGAGAAAAATAAGGCGACACGACAATCAATGGCACCACACAGCTTCTCAAAGAGCGGCAATCTCCTACAGACCGTCCGAAACGCGGCGCGCCAATGTATTAAACCACTAAATTATCTAGTGTGGTTACATGTGGTTACATGCTTGATCTTAGCGTGGTTAGATGCAGCCCACTGGCCCATAGGACGTCACCCGTAAAGCTCGTTGACCTCACCCCACCAAATTATAGTGCAAGGAAGTTGCTACCCCTCTGCCCCTCCATTGAGTGCAGGTGAGTATTATTATTATTACCTGAGGTACTCCCGGTCTTTCTACTGCGTGCTTTTTCCCAACGGACATCCAAAAACAAACGCATCGTCTGAAATACCGCAACCCTCTTCTTTCTAATTATTCTCTTATTTTCCCCTAAGAGTCTCATTTCAGATTAAGGATCAATTGAATATCCCCATCCCTCAAAATGTCTCTGTCAAACAAGCTATCTATTACGGACGTTGACCTAAAGGGCAAGAGGGTGCTCATCCGGGTATGTGATATTTTATCATTAATTATAATACACGATTTTACATGTTAGACTAATATAATATTTCTCAAAGGTTGACTTCAACGTCCCCCTCGACGCTGACAAGAAAGTCACAAATAACCAACGTATCGCCGGTGCTGTCCCCACCATCAAGTACGCGATCGAGCATGGCGCAAAGGCTGTTGTCCTTATGTCCCACCTTGGTCGTCCTGATGGCAAGGTCAACCCCAAGTACAGCTTGAGGCCTGTCGTCCCGGAGCTTGAGAAGCTGCTGGGCAAGAGCGTTCAGTTCGCCCCGGACTGCGTCGGCCCGGAAGTCGAGGCTATCGTGAACAAGGCAGACAACGGCCAGGTCGTTCTGCTAGAAAACTTGCGATTCCACGCCGAGGAAGAGGGCTCTTACAAGGATGCGGAAGGCAAGAAGGTGAAGGCGGACCCGGCCAAGGTTGAGGAGTTCCGCAAGGGTTTAACCGCTCTCGGTGATGTCTACATCAGTAAGAACCCCCACTCATGCCTGTAACGTAGATCAACGCAATAGTAATTACCCTGATGCTAACTAAATATCTTCTAGACGATGCTTTCGGAACCGCCCACCGAGCTCATTCTTCCATGGTCGGCATTAATCTTCCTCAGAAGGCCGCCGGTTTCCTTATGAAGAAGGAGTTGGACTACTTCGCGCAAGCTCTTGAATCGCCGAAGCGTCCCTTCCTCGCTATTCTTGGTGGTGCCAAGGTCTCCGACAAGCTCCAGCTTATCGACAACCTACTAGACAAGGTCAACAGCATCATCATCTGTGGTGGTATGGCCTTCACGTTCAAGAAGACCCTCGAGGGCGTCAGCATCGGCAACTCCCTCTTCGACGAGGCTGGAGCCAAGAATGTCGGCCAGCTCATCGAGAAGGCCAAGAAGAACAACGTCAAGATCGTCTTACCCGTCGACTACGTGATCGCGGATAAGTTCGACAAGGATGCCAACACTGGCATTGCCACAGACAAGGAAGGTATCCCTGACGGCTGGATGGGTCTGGACTGCGGCCCTGAATCTATCAAGCTATACAAGGAGGCTATCGACTCCGCTCAGACCATTCTATGGAACGGTCCCCCTGGCGTCTTCGAGTTTGAGAAGTTTGCCAACGGCACCAAGGCTACTCTAGACGCCTTCACAGCTGCCGTGGCCCAAGGCAAGATCGGCATCATCGGCGGCGGTGACACCGCTACCGTTGCTGCTAAGTACGGCGCTGAGAGCAAGTGCTCTCACGTGTCGACCGGTGGTGGTGCTTCTCTCGAGCTCCTAGAGGGCAAGGAGCTACCCGGCGTAGTTGCTCTTAGCACCAAATGAGAATTAGGGCGGTCGGTGCGTCTGTGAGCATCGCTTAGCACGGCTTAGAAAAGGGTAACCGGTTTGGGTTGGCTAGCTAAATGCGCGGGTTGCCGGTAACGGTGGATCAACCAGGCGGTGGTCCTTTTCGTTGTTACTATTATTGATAATGTTACGTATTGAGCTTATGATAAAGCCACCGAGCTAAAAATTAGATGAATACCTGAAAAAAAAAATTATTAGACGTACATATTTTATACATATTTCGCTATTTCGTCTGTGAGGTATCTTGTTCTGGATAATGATAATAATACCGATTCTCATATTAGCTACAAGGAGAAAGAAGTGTCGATACGTAAAGGCAAGGGAGTCTCTATTGTGTCATACTCGGCAGCTCTACATCTGCCAGTCTATTAATCAAAGCCTTGCTCATTTGCTCTACGCCTAGCGAAATAGTGCAGAGCGCTGGAGAATAGATACAATGCGGTTCGGTTTCTTAGTCATGGCCTGACCCTAATGCCACTAGTCCTGCCTGCTCGCATGCTCGACCGTCGTGCCCGGAAACGCCCAGCCCGTAGATACGGTCTCATCTTCGCTTCGAGGCTTCGACTTTCTTGAGTTCCTCTCTGTTTATACGTACGTACGTTAGTATTAGGAAGTATAAAGGTAGGAGAGATGTGGGAAATGAAACGGCATCGTTCGGTTATATGCCAGGCTGACTTGAGAATACCTAGGTTAGGTAGGTAGTCAAAGGCCTTGCCGATGCCGATTTGGGACGGCCGAAGACGCTGAAGTATATAGGCGAGAGATATTATAAACGTACCTTAGTTGCGCGGAAAAGTCGTCGGAGGTGTCGTCGTCGTCCCAGCTCTCCTCCCACAGGTGCTGCGTCGTAGTGCCGTTGCCTCCCGTCACTGCCGTCGCTGCTGCTTCGGTCTCCTCTGTAGGCCAGTCTGTTTCTGATGGCGTTAGCCGTTGATTGTCTTAGGAGATAGCTAGCTAAGTTGATTACGGATATTGTAGGATGGGAAAGAAGGCCGTATAAGGTAGGTAGGTAGGTAGGTAGAAGTAGTACGTGTATTATTGCAAGAGAACTAGGGGGTAGGGGGGTAAGAGAAATAACGCACCTTCTACGGGGAAGTCTTCGAACTCGTCGTCCTCTTCCAGCGCGGTAGCCGGCTTCTGCTGCGCCTGGGGCTGCTCCTTGGAGGGTTCGGCGGCGGGCTTGTCGCCGGACTTGTTTGAAGGTGCGGCCATGGCTTATGATATGAATAAGGTACCTAACCTATGTATTAGGTGCGTTCGATATAGATTGGATGATGTCGAGGGGCGTAGTATTGAAAAGGGGGTCGTAAATGGGTTTTCTTGTCGATATCGATGATCTGTCTTACTGGTGGCGAGGCTGAATGTGGAATAAGTAGAGAGACGAGGCTTCGGTTTGTTGAGGTGATGGATGATGGATGATGAATGTTTATCAATCTACCCTTGCCTTTCTTATCTTAGGTAATAAGATATAGTTAAGATATATCATTTATCTAGATAAGCGTGTTTGTTGCATAACATTGTTTACATACATACATACATACATACGTGCAATGACAACTCGGCAGGCGGATAAGGTTAAAGGCCGCTGCTCCCCCCGAAAACGGAAAATACTCACGGGTAAGCCAAACTTTATCTCCGGACAACCAATCATTACACTTTCCGGGTAGTTGGGCTGCGCGGGGCTGCGGTATAGATCCGTAGTACAGGTGTACAGTGTACATAGCCACGTAGTGCGCGGCTACTGTGGTACCTAAAGCTCCGCCTGTCAATTTTGACAGTGACGAAGTAGCAACGTTAAAGGCGTATTACATATTGTGTATTACTAGAGGATCCAAGCGCCTGGTTGTCACTCTTCGCTACATAGGTACGCTCAGATACAACTTGTTGAAATTTAGATTTTATATGAGAAACACTGTCCCGGATTTTTGCGCTTAGAGGGACCGCCAGGCGCTTGGACCCTCTATTATTGATTTTCTGCATTGCTAAGGTTCTTTCTTCGTTGTCGTCACCTAACTGGGATATTCAACTCGTGCGCTCAGCCTCCATCTGCTGCAGCATTCCTACCGTATTTAATTTCCGCTAGGGCCCGAGTACAATCCCGTAGTCAGCTTACTTTTCTGAATCCCATTCCCGGTTTATATTATACCTACGACAGTGTTACTACTATTGATCTATTGTTGTTTTCTTGTGTACTATCGACAAACATTTCCATATAGGCAATCATTATATCATTGAACTAACTAAAAAGTCTTAACCTACCCTAGTCTCCGCAGAATATTCACTTTCTCTAAATTACTTTTTATTTCTATTTTTTATTATAGTGTCATTAGAACCGTCATCAAAAATCACCCCCCTTATCTAACTACCCTAAGGTACGGAATACATTGACTCGTGCTGAAACCTTAAAGGTGGGCTTCGGTGAATAAGTCTTTCAGCTCCGAGACCTGAATTAATACACGCATTGGCAGATTGGATACTTGCATGCATTCGCGCTTATTCCAGCTCTGTTACATAAGCTTTTAAAGCTTTCTTTTAACAGGAGATACAATATTTAATCCTTTGTTTTACATATTCTCAGCATTAAACTTGCCATGTTTTGACTCCTACACTACGGTTTATTTTCTTTTTTTCTTTGGAATTAGAGACTAACCGACCGACGCTAACAAATTCCGCATAGCTACTGTTATCTTGAGATAAAACATAGTTTTGTCTAGTTTTGTCCACAATTCTCCAGGTAGCCAAGACGAGTATCGCTTTGGCGGAACTAATCAGGTTCGTCACTATGAGTCGGATAGGGGCCTGGCTTCGGGGTTCTGCTCCCGCCCCGAGCCAAACTTCAAGCCCTGCAGCCTCGCAAACAGATCTTCGGGCCCGGGAGACAGCCTCCCTCGTGGATGCGTTAAATGCCACCGCTTTGATTATGAACGATGACATCGACGGTGCCGAAGAGAGGTTGCGAAAGGGCGACTCGGCCTTTCACCTCCTTGGAATGGGAGTCTGCACTTTCATGAGAAGTATCCTTGGATTCGAAAAGTCAATTATGGCTGAAACTATTAACCGTCTCAATGATTGCGAGACACGTTCCCTGAGCGAGATGAAAAAAGCTCAGAAGGAGGCCGAGGCCGCCGGTAAAGCCGATGACAGGATATACCCCCCGGGAAGCGAGTACGCCTTGGTCATAGCTTATGCGCAACTGATGTCCGCCGTCGTTGCCGTTATGAATGAGAGTTTAACGGAGGGCCTCAAGGGTTTCTATAAGCTGCGGAAGGCTTTCATTACGCTTGACGGGCTTGTGCAAGCGGAGACAGCGTATCTGAAAAGAAAGGGGCTCCACTCGGATTCATCCAGCGACGATACCGACACGGATCTCGAATTTGTGGATGCGGATGAGGCGCAATCAGGAACACAAACTCCTTTAGATTATAGCGGTCATATTACTACGGGCCCTGGTGCAGCCGAAAAGGAACTGAGTAAACTGTCTCTGAATTCCAATGGTACTTCCAAGTTACCATCTACTAAAGGTAGCTCGGAGGTATTCACCAGCCCGGCCGACATTTTTATTCATAGCGGTGCCAACATGGCGTATGGTGTCCTGTTAACTCTCCTTACCATGGTTCCGCCGGCGTTTTCTCGTCTGTTATCTATTATCGGCTTTAGGGGTGATCGTGAGCGAGGCTTGCAGTTGCTGTGGCAGAGCTCTGGGTTCAGTAATGTCAACGGAGCTGTAGCAAGTCTCATGTTGCTCTCTTATTATCATGGTCTTCTAAGCGCCGCCGACATCCTCCCCTTCGATAACGACAGTGAAAAGAGTACTACTGTAGGTTACCCAAAAGCTAAGTGCATCGCATTGCTCGCCCAGATGCGCTCGAGATACCCGGATAGCGGCCTCTGGCGCTTTGAGGAAGGTCGGGTACAGGCAAATAGCAAGGACTTGCGGGGTGCTCTCGAGATTTTAAAAAGCAATACGGAGTCAAAAATGCGCCAGGTCACAGCTATCAACAATTTCGAGATGTCTCTGAACTCCATGTTTATTCACGATTATTCCGACATGCGCGACAATTTCCTCCGCTGCATCGAGCTCAACGACTGGAGTCCTACTTTATACTACTACATCGCCGGGTGCGCGGAACTAGAGAACTACCGAAATGCGTTCCACGGTAAAGCAGAGGAGTCGCAAATCCAGTTACATAAGAAGAAGGCGGACGAGCTCTTCAGAAAGGGGCCTACGCTAGCCGGTAAGAAGCGCTTCTTAGCTAGGCCGATGCCATTCGAGCAGTTCGTCGTTCGGAAAATGCAGAAGTGGGAAGAGAGATCCAAAGCGCTAGGAATAGACCTGGTGGATGCTATCGGCCCCAGCCCGTCGGAAGAGATGACGTACCTTTGGAACGGAATGAAAAAGATGCAGCCCTCGGAGTTGGAGTTTTCGAACAAGGTTCTGTCCTGGAATAGATTAACAGCACCGAAGGAGGCGCGGAAGAAGATAGAGGCAGAATTAGACGAAGAAGCCGTGCGAAACGTCTGTCGAGCCGCCGTAGCACGATCACTAGGCAATGTTGACGAAGCACGCGAGCTGCTCGACAGCGTTTTAGCTATGGATAGGTTAGTTTCAAGTCTCCTACGTCAAATTTCACCTAAGCTAACACGTCACGATAGACTAGCATTTAGAGGCCCTACAAAAGACGATTACGCGTTGCCAGCAGCAAACTACGAGATGGCCGTACTTGCATGGATCGAGATACAGAGACCTGAAGTACGAAGAGATGACGACCAAGGGGACGAGGAGGAGTGGCTACGGGAGAAAACGGAGGAATGCCAGGCCTGGCTCGACAAAGTAGCCAACTGGGGAGCGTTTACCCTAGACGCCCGGATCGGTATGCGTGTCCAGACTGGTTTGGATACTGTGAGCTGGTATAAGAAGCAGCATGGGTGGGCAAGCGCTTGACTTTTGTCATGATATACGGAACTGTGCATATGGCAGCTTGATCACATGCATTCGGCTGGGAGCTTATGGATAGACTTTTCGACCTTAGATGCAGGTCAGCTTCACGGAGAAGAGGTTAGTTAGACAGTATTGGGGGTATATGAGCAAGGTTTCTTTCTCCCCCTAAGGGAAACTAGGCAGAGGCGGTCAGGATACTGGCGTTTTGGTCATTGTCAACTATGGGAAGATGCATTTATGGAGGTAGCTTGCATGTCTCGTACATATACATGCTTTATGTTTGTGACGCATAAGCAAACGAAACGGAGATGCAGATGTTGCATTACATACCTAGTGACCGTGTTTGCTAAGGACTTCTAGATTCAGCGTACCTCCTAAGTTGGACACCCTTTTTTTATATATCTAGCTCCTCTTCCTCCCTACTAATTGTATTTCGCGCCCAACTTCATCCAGCTTCACTATCTTCTATTTCTCACTCACCTTATATATACCACCAAATACTCCAAAGCTATTATTTCCTTTTCTTCAAGATCTTCTAGGTTTATCCTTTCGGGTAACCTGCCGGATCTTTACTAATATCAAATTCGGTGTTGACCTTTCTTGCCGCGGGCCCACCACCCCATAGTTCCGTCATCATTGTCATAGTCCTATAACCTACGTACGAGCGTAAAGCCTTGCTCTACCCTCTTAAAAGGGATCATATACGACTATAATCTAATAACGGAACCTAACATCAGTGGTTCGGCAAGTCCGAGCCTCGAATGCGGCTAATGCCCGACGTGCACGGCTCTCCGGCCATCACCTGCGGTCGGAGGCTTCGACGTCGGGGGCTCAAGGGTCCTCGGAGGCTGATGCCTCCGGGGTAGCTGATCTGCCGGCTCAACCGGTCTCCACCGAGGGTACCGTCTCTCAGGTGCGTGACCCGCCGGATGAGGATTCGTCCGACTCAGACACCCCACTCATCACTGGGGTTGCCCGGCGCAATGCTAAGCGCCGGGCCAGTAGCGAGCTAAGAGAGGCTCGCGCCGGTAAGCGACGTGCTGTGTCAGAGGTCCAGGACTTCCCAGCTGGTCCGTCTGGTACGTAGCATCTCCTCTCTTAGCTGTGGTGCTTGCTAACCTCATCTTAGGCCACAATAGGCCTTCGACGCCCAGCGGCTCTAGCCCGGCACGGGGACTCCTAGATTAAGATAATCAGGTCGAATTTGAGTGTGGTGTTTGTTGAGAAAGGATTTAGGGAAGAGACTGGAGAAAAGGCTGGGGAGGACCCCTACTTATCTATATAACCATCCCCCGCTAAGCAGCAGTGAAGCTGTCGCTACAGAGATGTGAATGGTATTCACAGCAACGCGGGTGGTTTGGTGCATCGCCGGGATATTAACGTGAATCCGGAGCAACTTAACGACCGCCCACGTATATTCCCATTTTATATTCTATACACGACAACAACAAGTGGTTACTTGGCAACTCCATCACGCAAGACTCCGAATATAAGTGATTTCCTTGCTAAAGGCGCGGATTACATCAAACTTGATCGGCTTGGCCTCTTCTCATCGCTTAAATAGTCGGAGTAAAAACGACACTTCTTCCATATCAAGTTCCTTCATGGCCTTTTTAAATAATCTTATCGCCTTATTCTCAATCTCGAACAACTACTTCCCTATGTTTAAAAGGGCGGCTTAAGGAACAATGTCACCCTCTGTTAACTAGTCACCATGGGTCAGCGCAACTAAGATTTATCACAGCTTGTCTGGAGCAGTATTGCTTTGGAAGGCGAGGCATTCAGGCCTAATTTGCCTCCCTATATACTATTCGATATTCCATCTTTATGAACCCTAAGGCCATTGGACAGCATACCGGCCTCTTCGCTAATAATAACCTAACTACACTATATCCTTTAAACACATTCGCGGCGAATACGAACTGATAACGTGTCGCAAAAAGCGACGCCGCTAGTTAGGAGCACAGGGCTCATGTATGACACAAAGCAAACTATCTATGTACTGAAGAGGACCTGTTATGAGGCCGTCAGACTAGAGATAGCCAGCACTGCCAGCAGTAGACCGTCTGATCGCCTATGTCAACCTACGAGGTAGGAGACAAGCAATCATAGATCAGGGCTACACGATAAAGCGTAGGAAGGCAGGAAAGGCACGAAGCCAATCCAAGAACCCGCGCTCACGTGGCTCATCGCGCGGGTTAGCCTCAGCCTCGCTATAGGCGTCGTCTTCATTTCCCTCGGGATCCTGCACACTATCTAGAATATTATCTACAAGAGGAGCTGCGTCCTCAGACTCCCCGTCAAGGGGACCTGCCACATCCATATTAATATCCTCCACTACAAGACCACCTAAACCAGCATCCGTTTAAACCCCTCTATCCACCATAACTACTGATCAAAGGCCCTTTGCTAATTACATCTACTGGTTACGAGACTATTCTACTCATTGTTCACACCCTCCCTTAACCAGATAGATGTATCAAAAATCCTCCAATCCCAGCAGGTCGCATGCCTTTTCATAGTCTGTTTTGTTCAGTGGCTTTGTGAAGACGTCTGCTGGGTTCTCGCTGCCCTTTACGTATTCCAGCCGTATGCGTCCTTCTTCTATCTCTTGTCTTGAGTAGAAGTACTGAATTCGAATGTGTCTGTTCTTTTTATTGATTGCTGTGCTCGTCGCCCACTTCATGGCACCATTATTGTCTTCGAGTATTGTGATAGCACCCTCAGGCATCTCACTAAGCTCTGTGAGGAAGCTTTACAACAATAGCACGACCTCTTACTCCTATCCCACCACCGCCACGGCTAACATCCACCACACCACCGTCACCACGGCTACCATCCCCGAAAGCTCTATTCATCTCCTCCTCCATGCCCCTCACCTCCAGGTGCTCACCCTCTTCAAGAGCCCTTGCGCTAAACCCACATGGCCCCAGAGCTAGACTTGAACTAGCAGTAAGGCTTAAGGTTCGATCCTAACCTATGCACAAAAAAGAAGCTATTAGATCCAAAAGATCGCAGATGTCAGCGCCAGAATGAGCCTAAGCGTGCTCGCAACTGGCGGCGTCGCCTTTTGCGACATAACATTAATAAAACCTTAAGAATAACCTAACCGTAATTATCTCGGCGGATAGCACCACATAAAATTCGTGGCTGTTACCAGTATATTTAAGGAGATGGTGGTCCGTCCCAATCATAACTTGGTCGTTCAAGTTGATACTGGGCAGTACCACCACCCCCGGCGGAAGCAGTGTCTGCCAACCATCTGCCATCGCTACCTCATAAAATAAGAGGTTTACTGGCTAGCAAAACGCGCGGGCAAGCGGGTTGCACCAAGCGGACGGTTTTAATACATTTGTGCGTTCTGGTATCACAACACAAGGACCCGTGATATAGTATCACAATGATGATATGTATCTGATGAGTCTCGTAGTGTGTATGATTGATTAAGTAAAGGAGAGGAATCTATCTAGGAAGCTTTATTACAATAACGGATCGTTTGCGAACAACAAGGACCTGAGCTCGCAGATCGGATACGTTATCGTCTTGGGTAACGAGAAGCCTACGGACCAAGACAACGAGGTCCGAATCACAGGCAACATTATCCATTGGTCGTCCACCAAGTGCAAGCGCGTCACTCGCAGTGTACTTGCCAGCGAGATCTATGGAATGGTCCAGGGCTTCGACGTTGGTTATGTCATTTCACCCAAGTTATGCATAAACTTAAGATAAAGAAGTATAAAAATATCCGGGGTAAAAGGGATGGCGTGGTCTGCAATGATGCTTGTGTATTATACCGTCCATCCAATGTATCTACCTAAAGTATTTAATATAGTAGTTATTTACAACTTTCGGTACTTAGGCTTAGAGTTTACAACTCTACTATTAAAAAGGGGCAAGCCGAGGAAAGGGGCATCTAACATATTATAAGACTGCCATTACTTTAAACTGTTAGTTTAATACTAATACCATCGTAGTCTTTTAATCCCGGTTATTAAAAGTAACTATATCTCGCGTACTTTATACAAATTTCCCCTTTCAACTAAGCGTGACATAGCGCGTTCTTTATGTTTTCATCATCTTTACAAGCAAGTTAATATCTTTTAATATGGCCCCTATTTATTTAAACACCTAAAAGTCCAAGACCCAAAGGTTTAAAGTCTCCATCTATTCAACCAATGCTATATCGTCCTTTTCTCTTAAAACGGCATATAATAGCCTTAAGAATACCCCTAGAGTCACGAAGTAACTCGATAACTTTTAACCACGTGGATAAAAGTAAGTACAGTAAGACTTGTCTATAACTATTCACTATCATCCTCGACGAACGCTGCTATATGCATATCTCAAGTAGCCATCTTACCTTCAAAGCGACAATCCCAAGAACAAGGGAATTATAATACTCCCCCATCCCCCTCGCACAACCTCCGAGTCCAGGGGATCTCTCTTATCGAGTTCAACCCCTATTTCCCACGTCCACATCCACATCCACATCCACATCCACGTCCACCTCCCCCTCCCAACCCCCCTACAGATTCCTCCATAACAACTACACCAAATTCCTCAACTCCTGCCCCGCCAAAAACCTCCTCAGGTTATACGCAATAAGCTGCTCCGCGTCCTGCGGCCGCCCACCCGCCGCATGCGGACTAACCAACAAATTCGGCGCGCCCCATAACCTCGAGTCCTTCGGCAGCGGCTCCTTCTTGAACACGTCCAGCGCCGCGCCCCCGATCTTGCCTTGCTCCAGCGCGTCCGCCAGCGCCTCCTCGTCTATACTCGTGCCCCGCCCGACGTTGACCACCCACGCGTGCGCCGGCAGCAGCGCTAACCGCTGCTTGTTCAGGACGTCGCGCGTGCTGTCCGAGCCGGGCAGGATCATCACCAGCGCGTCGGTCTGGGGCAGAAGTTCCGGCAGCTTGTCCTCCGCGTACACCTCCACGCCCTGTCTTACGCCCGCCGATCTAGCCACACCGCGTACGGTTGCGCCCCATGCCGTCAGGTGCGGGGCTAGTGTTTTAGCGATGTTGCCGTAGCCCCAGATGAGGATATTCGCGTCGCGCAGGGTGGTGAAGCGGTCCTTTGGGCGGTCGGGCTGCGGACCGCCTAGGTGCTGCGGCCACTCGCGTTGTAGTTGGTACTCGCGCATCTGGTCGAAGCGGCGGGCGGCCGTGAGGAGTAGACCCAGGGTATGCTCGGCGACGGTGCGATCGTGAAGACCAGAGCCAGTCGTCACGAGGACGCTTGAGGGAAATCCAGCGGCTAGAACATCATTGGGCCCCGCAGCGAGGGATTGGATCCAGCGTAGGTTCTTCAGACGACGTGCCGCGTCGGATAGGTTCTCGGCGCTGTTGGTCCAGGTAACGAGGATCTCGGCGTCGGCGAGGTCGTCCGGGATTGGGGCTTTGACGTCGTAAGGATGCAGGGAAGTAGAGAAGCCCTCGAGACTCTTGATATCGAGTTTGAGAGATGTGGGGTAGAGGAGCTTCATGGTGCTGTTGGACGGGGTGACGTATCTTCTAAGCTGGGAAGAAAATAGACGAGTGGGAGTGGGAATAGCAAGTCTAGTAGTCAGTGTCTTTAGCATATAGAAAGAAATAAAATAAAATAAAATAAAATAAAGTAGGTAATTTAGGTACCTAACGTAAACAAAGTTATGGAAAGTCTTAACGGCCGCACATTTACATTTAATATGCCGTGTAACAGCGGGGACGGGACATGCGGGGTGCGTCCTGGGGAGGGCCTACCTAATTACTTATTTATCGATGTCGTGCTTTCTCCATATGCCGGGCCATTGTCAACCGAGTAGCTTCAACTAGTTCCACGCTACCCACACCCTCGGGTTCAAGTCAATAGGTACCACACATGTACTCACCCATATAAGTCAAGTACCTCACTTGGGTAGGCAGTTAGTTATACCTCGGGACTTTTGATATATAAGTATACCTACCTATATAGATTGCGTGGGGATAGGGGTAAGCACGTGTGTATAATGAATAGTTAATAATATTTTATTCAAGCATTATAGTTCTTTTTTGTTTCCTGCCGCTAAGATATCCAGTCCATGAGGTGATAATAACTTATTGGATCTTGAAATAGGAGAAAAGGAAATTGGGTATCTTATCGCCGGAAGACAGGCCTCACCTTACGTACCACACCCCGTGTATATCAAATTGAAAACTTGTTAAGCTTCTCTTTGGACGTAGTACCAGTTAGAATCCAGTAGTTAGTACTATGGAATGCTCTCGATTGTATCTACGATCCCTAAATCTAAGAATCGTAAAAGGCCAACCTAGCACTATCCATAATGTCAATTTACCTTCCGCTGCCATTCATGCGATCCACGCTATGCCTCGTCTCCATGAAATCGTCGCCAACCATAATCAATTTTGTATCGCTCGCAACCCTCGTCGATCAACCATCGAAAAGCCTACAAGCCGGCCTCACACCCGCTTGCAGAAATATAAACGCACGAGCTCTGTATCTCAAGAGCCAAACGGCGTATAAGGAAAGTCAAAGAAACTAGTACCGGCCTATGGAAATCACCCAAGCGGCGAGTACGTTTCCCTCTTCCGCGTACGGAATATGACCCGACTCAAGAATCGAGAAATCTGGTACGGACCGGCCAACACGTCGGTCAAGACAATGAAGACAGCGCGTGCTAAACGGATTTGTGGACCCCATAAACTAGACCCGCCAAGGGGCAAAGACTCTCGCGTCCTTCGAGCGAACTCAATCCCTCGAGGTATCCACAGCCATATAGTCGGCTGTAGCAAGTTTAACTTGCTAAGAATGACATACAGTAGCCTTTCCACGCCCCTAATTCGAAGGAAGGTTTTCTATACGTCCAGCACCTTTCGGGTGAAGCCACTCCGGCTCGATCAGTTCCCTGCGAGACGGATACATATGGCGATAGGCCGTCCTGATGGTACCATCACTGACACCAGCCACGGCGGCAATATCCCTAGATGTTTTTGCGTCGCCCATAAGATGAGATGCCATATAGATAGATGCGGCAGCGATCGACAGAGGAGATCGGCCAGCCAGATCTTTGAGGGAAGAACTCTTCTCGGCCAAAACCTTAGAGATCTTTTCCATGAGATGAGGATTCTTGAACTGGAGATTATTGCAGTATCGAGCACAGAGCTCAGCTGCGCCGGTCGTACCGGTAGCCTCGTAATTCTCGACCATAAGGAATGAGCCGGTGACATTTTCATCACGGCTGCTCTGCAACATCTTCTCAAGTACCTTGAAAGTCCTGCCAATCTCCTTTTTCGACACTCTGGTAAGAGAGTAGATCTCGCGGAATGTCCTCGGCGCCTTGGCCTGTCGACATGCTATGAAGATACAGCCAGCCACGACTGCCTCTTGGGGTTTCCCCTTGAACAATTTCTTGTCCTCGGTCATCTTAAATATATGTTTTGCGGAATCCTGGATGGTTTTCGGGATGTGAATAGCATCGCAAAACTGGGTGATGTCGCGGTAGGCAGTTAAGAGGGTCTTTGTGGCCTTGTCGTTGGTGATTCGACTCTGGGCGCGATGTAGCTCTCGTGCGCGCATTCCTTCACCGAAGCCGATGTTGGTCTCGAGCTGGGAGCCGTTTAGGAGAGGGTTCGCAGCGTCACCGACACGAGAAGGATCGTCGTTGCCTTGATCATCGTTGGCAAAAGTACGCCACTCGGATCGTGTGTCGATGATGCGATCGCCAAGGACTAAACCGCAGGAGCCGCAAACCATGTCTCCAGAGGAAAACTCTTCGACGAGATTAGGAGGATCCTCATTGCAATCGGGACAGAGAAGTCGCTGATTTAAGTTCTGCTTGTATCCTCCATCGCTTTCATTCTGTGTCTGACTCGGATTTACGGTCTGGCTCTGGTTGGGGAGGGTTTGTATGGGAGCGGCAAAGTTAGGCTCCAGGCGGGGCGCCACGGTCGCCATTATGACAAGATGGCGATAGATTGATTCGGGGGGTGGCGTCGTTATTGTTGTTGAGGTGTGAGGTGGAAAAAATAATTAAAACGACCTCCGACACAAAGGTGAAGAAGGTGAGAGAAAGAAGACGCGATGCAAATGCAGATGCCTGTAGAATATTCCCCAGTTATGTCAGTGTGGATTGCATAAAATGTGGGTCACCTGCAAATGGCAAATATCACCTTATGTAATCACATGGAAGCTGCAGATGTACGTATCTCGAGTTCTGCAAGCAGGCGTAAGCAGCACTCGCTTTTATAATCTCGAATAACAAAATCTGAAGGGCGATTGTTCCTTTTTATACGAAAACCACAAAGTACAATCTCTTTGATGGTTCACAGATCTTTGTTATGACCAAAAGCTATTAAGTGTCTGGTGCAATTGTTTAACTTGAACAACACAAGATTTCATTGTGCACCTACGCATTGGACGTATTCAACAATCTTTTTATTTTAGCATTCACCGTATTCCGAGTCTTATCTCTCCCTCGTAAGCGTATGAGTAAGTGCGGAAAAGCCATACGAGAATATTAAATACAGAAAATGTTAGATACTAATCACATGTAATCGCCGTAGTAAAATTGATATGGCTCTACTCCAATAAGAAAATGCTTCATAACATCGTGATGGGAACAAGTGCAACTACCCTAGCAGAAACCTAAGACCAGAAGCGCGGCTGTTTTCAAATCAACACCAATAATACCGTCGGTACAGACAGCAATGGTTCATTCAATACGAAATAAATTTACGAATTGAAACCCTAGATTTTGACAGTGCCATCAATGCTCGCCCCTAAAACGCCTATGCGATAGCCCCGAGGGTATTCTTTACTATGCGCCGTTAAACCTTCCCAGGTCCATCTACAAAAAATTAAAAAGAAAAAAAAAAAAGCACCAAAGCTGCGTAGGAAACATATAACCTAATAAAATTCGTTCTCTCGTTATGAAGGGATGATTAATCGAGGTGGTGGCGGTCCCCGGCTCGGCGACGGAGTTCGAGACGTTGGCGGAACAGCTAATTGGGGTTGCGGTAGAAGAGCCGGGTGGATTCCCATCTGCGTGTCCTGAACACCAGGAACCGGTCCTCGACCTGCCTCGAATTCCTTCCAATTTTCGCTTTGTTCTCTCGGTTCTCTCGGGGCCACGGGCTCTCGGTCTTCCTGGTCCAGCTCTTGGAATTGATATTCTGTAGACCCCCATACCTGAGAGTTCCGTGACGAAGTCCGGCTTGCCAGGGACTTCCGGATCATCGTAGCTCGCTCGATCTCCTCCACTGCTTGCCTATCCGTCGACCTCATCCTCATCTTCCTTTTTTTAAAGTCTTTGCCCAGAGGGTCTGGTTGGTCCTCTTGAGGAATTCGTTGTCGTTTTCTTGTTAGGTGCAAAGTCAGAAATACGATCAGCGATGTTACAACGAGCACTCCGATGACGATCACGGCTATCAACCAAGGCGCCATTGAATTGCCAGTGTCTTTAGTTTCTGATGTTGTTGCTACTGTGTGCGCATCGAATGCGTCATTCTCCTCGCGCGGATGTAACGGTGGCGCCATGTTAGTTTAGCCAGGAAAGCGATTCGAGAAGACTATCATGGGTTCGTGGCGAGGAAATAAAAATTAAGTTGCGAGAGGGCAGGAGGAGAGGTGTGGGAAAGATGGGAGGGCGTTCTTTTTTTTACTAACTGCGGCGTCCCTTTGAAATACGAGAAGAGCCGAATGGGAGGGACGGGAACCTAGACAGATTCTATTATTGGGCCAATCAAGTGATAATTGACGTCTGCATACGGTTACACGCTGCATGCTGTGCGCCGCCCACCCGTACGGATCGACGGGGTATCTCGGGATCCCTGTAGTGCGAACCGGGGGCGTGAGGCAATGCAAACGTTGCCTTCGGTGACAATTGCATGCCTTGAGACAAGCAAGAGGACCAACTTAGTGACAAAATGCGGTTGATAGTAAGTACCTAGCATAGGTAGGTAGGATGAGTAGCTGGCTCCTCGTAGGGAATGCGCCGATCGTAGACCTATTCTAGTGATACTTAGCGCCCGTCTAGCTACTGAGAGCTCTTGGGTAGTATCGGTCGCATTGTAGTCGCATTTCAGACGCAAGCAGTCGAGGCTGAGCAATTCTGCTGAATGAGCCAACGTATACGTCCCTTAAGGGATACATGTCTGTTCAGGGTCGCTTGGCTGGGCTTATCAATAAATGAAAATGTATAATAAGGCCAAACGATGAGGTAGATGGGCATATCCGAATGCTAACGGCGACGATGGTAAGACGAGGCAATTTCCATTGGGCTGATGCGTATCTAGCCTACATAAGGTGTCCTTCATAATAAATACTGCCACTCGCACGGCGCAGGTCACCATAACGAGGCATTGTAGTATCGTGATGACCTTTACTTGTCAGGCTGTCAGGTAACCTAGGCCGACAACCATTATCCCGGGATCTTGCTATTGGTTATTCGACCGGCTGCCTACATGAGGCACTCCAAATTATAGTCATTTGAGACTTGATTTGGCGAATAATACGCCAACAGTGCTAATGCTGTTATCTTGGTAGGTTAACTCGAGATAAAGTGCTTCGAGTTGCACGACAGCATACTTCCCATTATTGGAGGGGTTCTTGCCAAGAGGATCGAGAGTTCTGATAAAAAGTCCGGTCGTAGTAAGTGTTGAATCCTTCTCTAGTAAAGTCCGACGTCGTTCATGGTGAAGGAAGCTCTCAGCTTATTGTTCCTAAGAATTGTAGTCAGCAAATCGTCATGGTCAAATACTAAAGAGGAATATGTAAAGGGAATCGTTTCCATTGCACTACATAATAATCGTATTATTGGATTGTGGGGTAGATCTTTAATTGATCGGGAATCGGGAATAGGGAATAGCGGCCGTTTGTCGCTGTTTTCAAACTTCAAACTTGTCAACGCCGACTACGGGATCCGAACGGCTTGTTATACCAATTCTTCCGATGAAAATTGATTCCTTCAGTTTCCTTCAGTAGATGTCGGTCTCCCCTGTATTACCTCTCGTCTGTCCGCTCCGAAAGGTCTCGGCTAATACAGACTTTCTGTGTCTCAAGAATTAATAACTACCAAATCAGCCATCATGTTCAGTCGCACAGTAACTTGCGCCAGCCGCAGCACAACGTTTCTTAAAAATCGTTATCCCGTTAACTTAATACGACGATATTCTGCTATAAATGACGAGCGATCCTCTCTCCCTTTGGCGGGTTATCGTGTTCTGGATATGACTAGGGTCCTGGCCGGCGTACGTAGTGAAGGATCTGCCCCCAACCTCGGCAATGTACACGGCCACTCGCTCACTTAGCTTTCTACATAGCCGTATTGTACACAAATTCTCGGCGACCTTGGGTATAAATTACGTGTCACTTTTATGACGTAGGGCTGTTTTAAGCTAATATTGCATCGAACGCAAGCGCAGAAGTTATTAAGATTGAGCATCCTACGCGCGGGGATGACACCCGGGCTTGGGGGCCGCCTTATGCCAAATACCGAAACGGGTCCAACGAACAAGGCCCGGGAGAGTCTGCCTATTTCTTAGGTGTATGTTATACAATTATAAATATTACTATGCGTAACTTTTACTGACTTACGTCTACCTAGGTCAATCGCAACAAGAAATCTTTAGGCCTGTCATTCCAACATGCCGAGGGCGTGGAGATCCTACACAAGCTGGCAGAAAAATGTGACATTCTCGTAGAGAACTATCTCCCTGGAACGCTGAAGAAATATGGGATGGACTTTGACACGCTTCATAAAATTAATCCAGGACTCATATACGCCTCGATCACGGGATATGGCCAGACGGGGCCGTACTCTCAACGGGCCGGTTACGACGTCATGGTCGAAGCGGAATTCGGGCTGATGCATATCACCGGCAACCGAGACGGGCCACCAGTGAAGGTCGGTGTTGCGGTTACGGATTTGACGACGGGACTTTACACCAGTAATAGCATTATGGCTGCCCTACTCTCCCGGGCAAAGACCGGTCGAGGTCAGCACATTGACGTCGCCCTAAGCGACTGCCAGACCGCCACTCTTGCAAACATTGCCAGCAGTTGCCTCATCAGCGGGGAAAAGGACTCAGGCCGATGGGGCACGGCTCATCGTAAGGTTTAGGATATAGGAATCTCGTAACCCTTGCTAACAATCTCTTAGCATCGATAGTCCCGTATAAGTCATTCAAAACTAAGGATGGCGATGTCTTATTCGGTGGTGGGAATGACAGGTTATTCGGGATTCTGTGCGATGGTCTTGGCCGGCCGGAATGGAAGACAGATCCAAAGTACAGCATTAATTCGCAGCGGGTAGCAAACCGCGTAGAGCTCGAAGCCGAAATCGAGAAGATCAGCGTTCAGAAGACGACACAAGAATGGTTGGATATATTCGAGGGCAAAGGAATGCCGTACGCAGCAGTGAACGACGTTCAGGGGACGTTAAACCACGAGCACACTAAAGCACGAAACATGGTAGTCGAGGTAGAACATGAGCAATGTGGACCGATTAAGCTGGTAAATACGCCGGTAAAATATAGCGAGAGTAAGCCGAGGGTCCGGACCGCACCGCCGACTTTAGGTCAACATACGGACGAAGTTCTTAGGGATATTCTTGGTTTTGAAGCTGGCGAGGTGGTTGCATTGAGAGAAAAGGGGGCTATTAGATAAGATATTATACTAACATACCAGTACCTTACTATAAAACTCCAATAATATTTTACGAAGTAGCCTCTTGTAACAAGTACAAGTTGAATCGAGACAACCCCATCAAGTATCAGGCACCCGGGGTTAAACAGATCTCGAATAACATACGAAGGGGGTTAAAGACTAAGAACTCAAGTTCGTATTAAAGGAAGCATGTATAATGGATTAAAAGCATATAGGAATAGGTCATGTATTAAAGCATAATTATTAAGACTAAAGTTAATCGAGTAACCTTAAAGTGGTCTGACAACCCTGACAATTGTTGATGACTTAGGCAGGAGCTTCCGGGAAATCATTCGATCACGTGAATCTCACGTGCAAAAGCCTCCACCTACGAATTTCAATCTTTCATGACCAATTTACCATCTTTACACCTTTCGAATAAGACAATTGGAAATTGAATATAAATGCTACTACGCAAGGCTTTTGTAGGGCCTTGATTTCTTATGCCTCGATGCGGTTTTGTGGTAGATGATTCCCGCCAGCTTCACCTGTCTATATGATATATCAACCAACCGTCGACCACTAATGCGCCGACGCGACGGCAGTGTTCGTATTCTGTTGTATTCTTTAATGTACGTGACCGAGTAAAAGTAGGGGGTAAATGATGGATTCGGAAAAGGATAAGGTCGACGATGCTGTCGAAATACCGGAAGCGCCGACAGCCACCAAAGATATGGCATCGTCGCAGCTTCCAGAGCCAGAGCAGCAGCCAGCACCCCCGAAGGCACCAAGCCCGGCTCCAAGCACTGCTAGCTCGACTGGCCGTCCGCCTTACATGCCTCAGTTCTCAGCTGCGACTCAGATGATCCTTAAGCGGATAAATTCTAAACCTGGAAGTTTATCATCAGCACTCTCATCTGCCTCTTCAACATTCCCTAGGAATAGCATTAAGGATTCCACTTTCGAGGACACTAAGAGACGTCTTGTGAAAAGCATGAACACGTCTCTAACGATGCCTATGCCAACTATAACTCCCAAGCACGCTTCTTCTTCTTCTTCCACTACAAAGAAGCCATCTGCAGGCACTACTATGCGCATGCCTATGAACGACGCCTTTCAGCTTAGGACGCCGGCACCAGCCAAGTACGAGTCTACAACCAAGGAAGCATCTCGGGGCCAAAAAGCACCTGCCCAGAAATCGAAAGGCAAATCGCAGCGCGGAACTAAGCGCAAACGGGGTAAGGACGACGAAGACGACGAAGATACGTCCTCAAGCCTGAGTGATCTATCTGATGAGGAAAGCCCTACAAGTACCATCGCCGTCACTGCTACTGCCAAGGAGAATCAAGCCATGCCTACTATGACGAAGTCTGGCCGCCAGGTGCAGAAGCCGACGCAATACAACCCCTCCCAGCAGTCAGCCCGCGACGCCGCCACCCAGAAGCGCAAGAACTACGGCAAGCGTACGGCAGAGCAAGCATTATGCAAAGTGTGTACTCGGGGACTGAGCGTCCCCGCCAATCAGATCGTCTTCTGCGACGGCTGTAATCTTTGCTGGCACCAAATGTGCCACGAGCCATACATCGACGACGAATTCGTCAACAACGAGTCGCGCTCCTGGTTCTGCGGTCGCTGCATGGCCAAGCGCGAGAGACATCTTGCCCGGAAGAAGAATATTGATGGTTTTAAAGGGGCAAGCTGGTCCAACAAGACCAATGAACAGGTGAGTTCTCGTTCTAATTCTATTAATTAAACACATATATATCCACACACACACGTATATATTATTCCTTGGTGGGGGAATACTAACGCCATTCTAGAAACGAACGTACCTCTCCGGTGTGCCTCACGCGCAGCTCGTCAACCTCATCATGTACAGCACGGAGCTGCATCCAGACTTGCCTATCTTCCCTCAGGAGACTAAACGCGGCGCTGCTCAAGTGGGGCGACCATCTCAGGAGAGTCTACGGGTTAAAGCGGAGTCCAACATCAACGTCGGCCCAACGCATTACTCTAGCAAAATGTCGACACCTGACTCGCAATCCGTGAACGTGAAGACAAGTATTAATAAGGGTACTACTACCGCCGAGAATCAAGATCAAGCAGCCAGAGAGGACTCTGCAGATTCCGTACCTCCTGCCTGGCCAAAAGTCGGACGTGGTTGTCTGGCGGGTTTGGAAATTGACGAAGACGATCTACGTGATGACAACGATTACGAAGCCTTCAGCGTCACGACCTACGATACTAAGGGTAAGAAGATCACGGAGAACGGCATGCCAGTCTAAGTTTGGTAACAACTCGGATCCGAAGATGAAGCAAAAGAGACGATCGAAGTTTTATAGAGCTCATCCCTGAACTCCCACCTATGGACCAATTATAGGGAATGTGTCTCGCTCGAGCGTAGGAAGAAATTACTACGTTATAATTGTGTGCACATAGTTGGGGCGATGATTGTAGCAGCACCAGGTATACGGTTCCCTTTATCGAGAGGGGACCATAAGTTGAAGTCGAAAAAACAATACCTACCTACCTAGGTACCTGTATTATATACACAAGAGTTAGCATCCCTCATTGCAATGCCTATACTATAGCTACTCGAACATAGCTAGTACATACTATACTAGCTAATTCAATCTAGTTTAATACAAACTTGACAATCATGATTCCATGCCTACAGCATTTGAAATATTAGCTACGTACGTGCACACGTATTATGTATAGCGCAGGTGTAGGTAATCTCAGGAGGGTTGAGTTCACTGCTCACAACCCCTTTTCCTCAGCTCCATCGATGTAAAAAAGTAGAGTAAAGCATTGAACGTGGGACATAATGAGCGCATTCATTAATGTATATTGCTTAATGGGAAAGTTTAAAACTAAGAGCCATTAAAAATAAGAGCCAGGAAAGGAGAAAATCCAGAAAAAAATAACATTATCGATGTGAGATGATGTGAGATGCAAAAAACACGACCACCACGGGACTCGAACCCGCAATCTTCACCATGTTCCAGGGTAACACCGGAAAGTGACGCGATACCATTTCGCCAGGCAGCCCTTTATCAATAACGATTAGAGGGAAGGTGGATTATTGTTATCGCCGATGCTGAAGTAACTTAAGTACATACAATTTAGTGCTGGCCGCTAAGTTCTACCCCGATGTCTCATTTTTATTGGACGTAACTTATGCCGAGAGTCTAAACGCACTGGGATGGATGTCTTGATAACTTGAACTTAATAAATAAATAGCTGGGTTTTTTTGACTGTATCGTTTAACTATATGAAAAAGATTAATAGGACTCTCTTACTATTATTCTAGTCTTTCGGTGCAAGTAATCTTGATTCAAGTACATAATCTAGAAAGGTCGAGTCCATTATACTATAAGCAACTGATTGTAGTCTGTATATGCGGGTCATTAGACTAGATGATTCTAATATCTTAGGAGTGAATGGTGGTACTCTTTATAACTAATAGTTGATAGTAGCGGGTGCGTATAAGCCAAGCTACCTATATTAAAGCTAATTCAGGTTGGGATTTCCTTTATTACGTACCTATCATATACTTAAGGGTTCCGTGTGAACCCTTTCGTGTCTAGATATAGTCTCACTTTATGTCTATATCTTACATTCGATGATCTACTATTAAAGCCATATACCTAGATCCATGGTAATATTCCTTCAGGCTTATACTCTTTCGCTGTCTAACAGGATAGAGATATCGTTAAAGTTGCAAGAGGAATAATAATCAATATTTATCAGTTAAAATAGCTCTCCTCGGATATCTAGTATGGGTGGTCATATCTATTGGGATTCCATTTTGATTCCGTTAGGGTAACTTCGAGCATAAAGTCTTTTATTTGTGTACCTTGCACTATTCTATCGGTCGCTGTCCACATTTAGCCCCCTCCTTGATACCATTCCTTTCTCCCTTATATCCCTCCCGTACCCTGTACTTTATTTGTACATTTCTCCTCAGCTGTTCCCCTTTTATCCATCTCCCCTTATCAGCGACTTTTAGAAAAGGCAGGACAGCAGGTGGCCTCCCTATCCATTAGGGTAACTTCCCGACTCCCGTATAACTAGAAACAAAGAAACCAGCATAAGCGAAGCATATCAAACATGCATGTAAATACTAATTTAGGCGGTACCTAGCATTAGAGACTATGTTGCATCGTGCTTTGATGCAAGTATCAGATGATAGATACTGTTTTAAGTTGATCGTTGCCTGGCAATAAGTCATGAAGCATCCAGTATTATATTACTGAGGCATGAGTGGCCTCCTTAAGGAATGACATAAAGCAGACTTATAAACTGAAATCCCCCCACTGCTTTTCTCTTACCCTAACCGTACCAATACCATATCTACCAAGACCCTAAACATATTACCATACGACACATCATGGCTCCATTCCGCTTTAACGAACTGGGCTCGGATATACGACGTATTATCTGGAAACATGCATTGCTCCAGGCGTCCGCCGAGCGTATAGTGATAATGGACAACCCGCCCACCAACGAATGCTTCCCCCGTAATTCCCTTCGTGTCCTACCATTCAGGTCTCTTGTTTCGCCAATTTTGGCTGTAAATCAGGAGAGTCGGTCCTGTGCTTTCGACTATTATAATTTAATACTACCCGTAATTTCACTAGATCAGATGCCCAAAAGCCTCTGGAAATACACTGATGAAGAGCGTGCATTTCTATACAATAATGAAGAATACGAGAATATTGGTTACGAAGAGGGATATGTATTCTTGAATCTCCAGCAGGATATCTTTCTCTCAGGTTTCTTCCTCAATGCTATAGACGATATTAAACCATTCTTTACGGAATGGTGCCTGACACCGAGTTCTGCCTTTCATACGACTACTCCAGACGAGGTCAATCTTCAAGTTAGGCACTTCACGCGCTCTATATGGCCTGAGCGCGAGCGTATTCAAAAAGTACTGTCAGTCTGGTGTACTGACCCCTACGACGACCTCCTCAATCCCCGCCGCGTGCCCGGCGAGACGAGGTTATTTAACAAGGTACAGAAGGACCTTTACTGGGAAAAAGAAACATACGCATATGCCACAAGATACTTCTACTGGCCTAACGTACAACGGCTGAACGTAGGTGGCCTAATGCAGCACCTCTTCGAGCGAGGCCCTGGTAAACCATTGAGACCCCAATACCAGCTGAAGGAACTAATATCCATCAAGCTGAAAGAAGGCGTTACTTACAAGAACAATTTTATATGGTTAGGAATGGGTGAATACCTAGCAGACCCTTCTCAAGAAGAAGAGCAGCATCGTCCTCGTCCTCGCCACACCAACGCCATCAACAACGATTACGCCTGGAAAAAAATGGATTCGTTAGTTAAGGAGATGACGCACTGGATAGACCTAGCGAATCGGAAACTGTCATGATTCCATATCATAACTGGCGCGAGAATGATGCTGAGTGGCGAAAGGGAATACTTGCTCTTAGATAGGTGTCATACGGACAACATGGCCGCGACTGGAATCTGAAATACAGCCTAGACCCAGTAAGGGGTTAAGATAACTAAGATCAGAACAATTGGATGAGGCACATCACAAGACGATGCAGGCAGTATGCAAGATAGCTAACATACAACCGAAGGGGCAACTAGATACGGAGATGCACCTTTTAGAAACGTCTACAAATAGGTCGTGATCTCCTCAGAATTGAGATAGAGAGATCATCCAGGACCTTGAGACCTTAGAAAAATTATTAGTAATATGAATCCGTTCCACACCCTTACAAGACCTTGTTACAATAGGAGACCGTGCTAAGAAGCTTGAGACGTCGCACGCTCTTCGGTAGGAAGAAAGGGCCTATCACCTACATATCTCGTAAGGAAGTAATAATACGTGCCCTAGACATTGTACACATCAATAAATATGATGCTATTTCCTAAGGAGATTTGACTAAATCGTGATAATCTGAGACGATTGACAAGGATTTAATCTAACATCGTGCTAAAATGCATGAATCAACGATGGCTAGTGTCCGCCTAATATAGGAGTTGCCTTCTTATCTAAGACTGGGATATGTTTGGGTCTCGAAAGCAAGTAGAGTGAGTGGTCGGATATATAACCCACCTGTTCCCCTGTCACGTCTATTGCTCTAAACCACCCAAATAATTTACGTGACTAGCACAGCTAACGAGAAAATAAGGCAAGGCATCTCGTCACATACTTTTTTCTTTTCGTTTTGGAAGTTCTTGGAGAACCTCCCTACGTCCCTCGCATATAGCAAGATCACAAAACACTGTCTACTGCTTTTCTTTCCCTTCTCCGAGACCGTATGCCTTCATTGCCAACTAGTCTCTAAACAAAAGATCTAGCTCATGAACAATGCAGTTTTATGCAGCCTTACTCATGCCTCCTTGCCCTGCCGAGAATAAGATTGCCGAGAATAAGATGCAATGCATTACTGCTCCTAAGACTTTCCGCCCTAACGTTTCAGTACTAGATGGTAAGGGATATCGTGACTAGTGTATGTAGTTCGGTAGATCCTCTCGGAAGTACTATTACGCAAATACGGTCACTTCCGGCCACTTATCATGAGCGGCTGCCTTGAAAGAATCTGCTTCATCGCTGCGCCATTGCTTCAAAATGGCCAGAACTTCTTCCGCGTGCTCGTGGTGGACATCCTTTAAGTTGAGAACCCCCGCGAGGTCTTGTTCTGTCTTCTTTTTGTCTTCCCCTATGAGTCTCTCTGTTTTGATAGCTGAGATGACGTGAGGTGGACTGTTCTTATGCTTCTCTTGGAAGCTGGCGTTGTATTTCTTCAGATCTGCCGTAGCGTCTATAATAGTAAATTCGGACTTCAACACTTCAGCTACTTTAGGGGGTAGTGATTCGATCTTTGAGTTAAGAGCTTGGCGGAATCTCACGACTTGCTCGTGAACCGTAGGATGGTCCGCATCGAGGGCTACCGCAGCATTCAGGCATCGAAGGGCAAGGAGGTATTTTTCTAAGGGGACATTAGCATATAGAACGTGTAAAAAAGTTAGGGGAAAACGTGTTTATATAAGTACCTCTCCTAATGAAGACCTCGAAGCCGGCGATTTGCCCATCGATGTACTTCGGACTGAACTGAAGGATAGGCGCGAGGAACTTCGTAGCCTCGGCCAATGGTTCGGTAGTAGCTGCGAGCTTGGAACCAGTAGGGTCGTCGTCCTTTTTAACTGGCTCGGCTGTCGCTCCCTTTGACTTATTAGGGTCTTGCTTGGCGGCCCGCTCAGCTGCTTCTCGCTCGGCTTTTTGTGCCTCCTTCTTGGCTTTCTTAGCAGCCTTTTTCCTGTCGGCAGCTTCGTCCCCATTGGCACCGTCGGGCCCGTTCACGCCGTTCGTTGCCTGACTGCGGTCGTATATACTTACGTAGATCGCTATAGCCCCGAGGGCGGCACGGGTGTAGAATGGATGCTCGCGGAGATGGTCCTCCCACCTGATCATATCTACATATGCGCGAATCTGCCCCTTCCTCAGAGAAAAGCTATGGAAATCAAACTGGTCTTCCTGCCACACATCGAATATGTTATAGACAGCGTGGAATCTCTTCAGGGCCAATCCTATATTTCCATTACGCACCCACGCCTCTCCATCTTCTGTCAGGTACCATACGCTTTGCATATCCAACAGATCGTTTAGAGGACCGCCTGGCGAATCGTTCCTCGTGAAGAGACTCATCGTCTTGAGGGCAGTTTCGTTTTCATCATTCCGCAGTTGGTATTTCGCTGCCTTCGTGTTTATATATCGGTCTTTCAGGTCGAGCTTGCGAGCTTCATCCATGGTCTCAGAAGCCTTTCGAGTATTGCCGTAGTGCTTCCATATCCTGGCCTTTGTCATATGAAACTCGACGTTCTTGGGTAATAACTCGATTCCCTTATTGACGTACTCAATTGCCTTTTCGAGATCGCGGCTTAAATGGTAGTTGTAGTGTTGGGCAAGGTAATATAACGCGGCCGGTTCTCCATTAAGCGAGTCCCCATCCACCGGTGCACTTCCATTTGAAGATGCTCGTTTTGAGTCGAGATATTCATGCGCTAGCGACCCAAGCGTGTCTCTCTTGGACTGGTCGACGTAGAGGTGCTTGAGGTTTGCGAACGTTGAAGGGACTCCCTTATCTAGCATCAGAGATAAATATCCGCGGGCTGCTTCCCGGAAGTCGTCGCCTAAACTTGTTATGAGCTTTTGGTCTACCAAAGATTTATATAATTGACGTGACTAACCGACAAGGAAGTCTAGAGGTAACCGCTTGGCAGCGTCACAACGCGGGTTCTTTTCGGCGTATTCATCGTAAATCGCCTTTTGGGCCGCACCATCAGCACCAATACCTAAGACCTCCACAAGCTTGGAATAGTATTCGGGATGCTCTGGGTTGCGATCGAGTAGGGCGCGATAGGCATCGGCTGCCTCCTCTTTCTTGCCAAGCTTTGCTAGATATTCTGCACGAAGCTCTAATACGGCTAGGCGATCGAGGTTGCTCTTCGAAACGGACTCTAGGTGGTCTAAAGCTTTCTGATAGTCTTGCATCTCGGCTATGATAGAATTCTTATACATGACGGCCTCTGAATTTTCGTAATCCGTCTTAGACGGCTGTACTTTCAAAGACTCCTCGTAGGTCGTCAGCACCTTTTCGGCCTGAGAAAGGTTACCGGCTAGGTGATGGGCCACTGCAAGCGCCGTCCAGTTTTGTCTTAGCTGAGGTCTAGCCTGGAGCATGGCTGTTCTACTTTGAATGTATCCTTGATAGTCGCGCATTTGAATCTGAAGGAAGGCGAGATCTCTCTGGATTTGGTGGGAGTCGGGTTCTAACCTCAAAGCAAACTTATAGGCCTTGATAGCCTCCTCAAAATTCTTCTGGTGGCGGTACAACAGCCCGTAGACGTGCCAGCATATATGCGACTTCATATCGGCCGTGAGAGCTTCCTTTCCTAATGCAAATGCTTCTTCGGTCTTCCCCTGTTGATTAATGATCAAAGCCTTCATTGCCATTGTGTCTCCATGTTTAGGGTTCTTCTTGAGAATCTGCTCGGCGGCCTTCAACCCCCTTTTGTACTGCTTATCCTCATAATTGCGAATGACCTGTCGAAAGAGAGAGTTCTCTTTCGAGCTAAGAGGTTGAGGCATGGTCGGTATTAATACGCAGCTCCCCCGCCGTCAAACCCTCTGTTGAAAGAGATGGGGTTATCTCAGGAGTGTCGTTCAAGAGTTACGCTCGGGAGTGTAAGGTGTCCTCCTGCTTAGCTGTCCAATGTGACTCGTGCGCAACGAGCTGATTCACCGAATGCAGCTAGTGCAATAAACGATACCTCGTCGCTATTCTAGGCGAGGAACGAGTGATCGTAGATAAAGTCCTAATCTATAATTCAGGACGTTGTATACTAGCCGTAGGTACAAATTCGGGCGTGGGATTGTGCGTTGTCGCCGACTTGTAAATGGGGAATATTGAAGCTCGGAGCTTTGCGACTAGTAGCGGCAAGCACAGCACCACACAGAAGTGGGATGTCTTACCTAATCATCCAGGCACAGGTATCGAGAAAATTTAGAGCTACCTTTATTTTGCCGGCAATCATCCGAGTTAGATAAGGTACATATTCAGTTAAGCGATTATATCCTTGCACATTTCAGGTACATGGCGCAAGTACATTGATGCTTACAAAGTGATCAAAAGCCATTTTCTCAATAATACCTACCTGTTACTTGAACAGACTATACTATTAAACTGAGCTATTATCTAGCAATGCTATATAATTGAACCGGCTTTGAACCGGCTTTAAACCTACTAGTTATTTCACATAACAAACAGCAAAAGGTTGGTATACGGTACTAAGGTACCTAATATGGCAAATAGTATTACATTGGTGAGATTTATACAAAGACCTACCTACGTAGGCATAGGCAACGTTATATAGCTATTTAATGTAGTTTATCTAACGTTGATTTATATTGCTTGAATCGGTTTCAATTACGGGCTGCGGCGCTCTCTTGCCGTTCTCCAATTGTTCAGAGCCTCTTCCGCGTCCTGAAAGCTATCGCCGCAGCGCTCCCGCACCAAACCCCACGTTCGAGAACGTACAATATTCTCGACACTTCTCTCTTGCCTTAGTAGGTTGGCCAGCATTTCCGTGCGAGGCTCTCGGGGGAAGTACCGCCCGGAATATGGATCTAATCTCTCGTTGACTACCCGCTCACGATTCCTCTCGGTCTCGGCTTCGCGTAGAGATACTTCGGGATCATCTGGATCTGGACTGGTAGCAACGTAGGCGCAGTAAGTCAAAACATCGGACCTTGCTTGCCAGGAGGGGAATAAGACCTTGTCCTTGAATTCCTGGCATGCCCGTGGATCGATAGGTCGACTGGAAGCCCGAGGGATCCGGGCAGAGGTCGAGGAGGGGTCAAACCCCGACTGAGCAGGCGTTAAAAGAGCATTGAGGTTTTGGGTTATCGAGTCGTCTATCACACTACGAGATATTCGGAGGAAGTCTTGGGAGAAGTAAGCGCTTGCGCTTAGAAGATTTTTATCGACAGGAAGGGCGTACCTCTAAGGGCTACGGTCGAGAAGCAGAATTGGGGCGTTAAATTGGGATGGGCGGGAGGCGCGGTCATGATATCGCGGGAAATAGGATTTGAAGAATCGCTAGTCGCACCGGCGGCATCCGTCGTAGGAGCCGGGCTTCGGGACCAAAGTATTCCAGCCACGATGGAAAATAAATATGTAACGACGTCAAAAGGGATATTAGTCTTATATTAGTTTAACAGATGTAACTCAAAAGTCATCTCTAAACTCTCTTCTCGTTTGGCAGCGGGAAAGAGTAACATTAACTATGAGAAAACTCGGCTTAGTTGTAGGTCTAAAATGATGACGGAACTCATAGTTAATAGAGGGCCAATAGCGTGACATCCCGAGAAGCCCGGGATAGTAATATGCAATTATGGAAGCGGGCTAACAGATAAGAGATAAGACTTCGATCAATTCATCAGGCTGATTACGCGACACGCCTGCCTGGGGAAGCTATTGAAAGTTTCCACAAGTACCTTCCCGCAGTGCTAGCCTTGTCAGGTACTTCGGAGTTGTAACCAAAGCTTTAAGTGACTTTACCTCACTGAAGCTCCGTTCATCACTTCAACACACTTCAACACACATCAGCATTTCAAATCAAAACATCCCCCTCATATCCTCGTAACGTCCACACAGCACGAACGCTGGTAAAGTTACACATAGAAAACGGACTTATTTCTCTACTTTGGATTTATTTTCTCTCTCTTCAAATTTCATTAACCTAACTATCCTTATCCGCCATGTCTAGCGCCCCAGATATGGAGGGCGTCGAGCGCCGAGGATCTGACGATGGCAAAGACAAGAAGGACGAAGGACGAGGTGACGGATCAAAAGACGGAAGCAACAAAGTTAATCGCGATGGTGACTCCGAGATGAAAGATGCCGAACCCGTAGCAGATGAAATTCTAGACGAGGAAATCCTAAGTCTCGGTACGGAAGACCTCAAGACTCGGAAACGTCTATTAGAGAACGATGCCAGAATCATGAAGAGCGAATTCCAACGGTTATCGCACGAAAAGGCAACTATGGGCGAAAGGATCAAGGAGAATAATGAGAAGATCGCAAATAACCGGTTCGTCCAATCCGCGCATCTATATACCTCTCTTGCTGACTTGATAGGCAATTACCTTACCTCGTTGGTAATGTTGTTGAGCTTCTCGACCTCGACCCTACCGCCGAATCTTCCGAAGAAGGTGCCAATATCGATCTCGACGCCACAAGGGTGGGCAAGTCGGCTGTTATCAAAACATCTACTAGACAAACCATCTTCTTACCCTTGATCGGTCTTGTCGATCCAGAAACCCTCAAGCCCGCCGACCTTATCGGTGTCAATAAAGATTCCTACCTAATCCTCGATACGTTACCTGCAGAGTATGATAGCCGTGTCAAGGCTATGGAGGTTGACGAGAAGCCTACCGAAAAGTACAGCGACGTCGGCGGTTTGGATAAGCAAATAGAAGAACTCGTCGAGGCTATCGTCTGGCCGATGAAGGAGGCCGAGCGGTTCAAGAAAATTGGCATCAAGGCACCTAAAGGTTTGTTGTATAATATTCTAAAGCCTTGCGTACCTTGTTTCTCACAATATTATCATAGGTGCTCTCATGTATGGACCTCCGGGAACCGGCAAGACCCTTCTAGCTCGAGCCTGCGCCGCCCAAACGGATGCCACATTCCTCAAATTAGCTGGTCCACAACTAGTTCAGATGTTTATAGGAGATGGTGCCAAGTTGGTTCGAGACTGCTTCGCGTTGGCCAAGGAGAAGGCCCCCGCTATTATCTTCATCGACGAGCTTGATGCCGTCGGTACGAAGCGTTTCGATAGTGAGAAGAGCGGCGACCGAGAAGTTCAACGAACTATGCTTGAGTTGCTAAACCAGCTAGACGGTTTCGCGTCGGACGACCGTATCAAAGTCTTGGCCGCCACCAACCGTGTTGATGTCCTCGACCCCGCTCTACTACGATCTGGTCGGCTGGATCGCAAGATAGAATTCCCTCTACCCAACGAAGAAGCTAGGGCTCAGATCCTCAAGATCCACTCGCGCAAGATGAAGGTCGACACTAGCATCAACTGGAACGAACTGGCCCGAAGTACAGACGAATTTGGTGGCGCTATGCTGAAGGCGGTCTGTGTCGAGGCTGGTATGATCGCCCTACGGATGGGCAAAAACAAGATCAGCCACGAGCACTACGTGGATGCGATTGCTGAGGTGCAAGCTAAGAAGAAGGAGGTAAGTTCTAACGCCGTCTACCTTTGTTATTGTGATCATGCGCTAATATTTTCTATAGACGGTCAATTTCTACGCATAGTTTTCTTCGATTGGAGCGAATGGCAGTCATAACGTAGAAGAAGCTTGTAATATAATATCGGTATATCGCGAATTTAGAGCGGTTTACCGACATCATGTCCCTTTTGGCCATTATTTTTCAGTCTGGTCTTTTCGGTGTAATGATGAGCTCCCATGACTTGTACATTTCTCTATCCTAATTCCCTACGGCGTAGGCTAATTCCTAGGGAACGTTATTGTGCTTGTAGTTTGGTTAAGGTCAATCCTCTGATTGCTACATGAGATGCCTAGGTGCCTAACCTAAGGCAGGCTTCATTCCTACGGCTCAGTTGCCGGAATGTTACTCATTCGACAGCCTAATTTATATTTGTCGCGTTTTTACGCCTTCTCTTCCCGTTAATGTAGAATTTTGGATAGATCACCACCTGTATTTATGAGATCGGCGTTAACGACTAGCCGCACTGGCGACTGAAATTCTACCTCCTAAGCCCCTGAGGGAACTTGTAGCCCAAAATCCAACAGAAGCCCTTCATATTCATAGGGCAAATGTAGGATATACAGCATTCAGGTTTTAAGACGAGTAAATTCATTCATCCGTCAATTACAAGTTTTGTAGTTTTAAGACGTTCTCATTATAAAGGGTATGCGGAAATGATGCGATACTGTTGCAATGCATGCGATCAATGGCAACATTAGTATTGCATTGATATTGTGACAGTTACTAGATGCTCACGACTTCGTATAATATCTCAAATAAAGTCTTTGCGCCAAGGCTTGAGGTGTGATAGCTACAGTCAATTACATCATTTCTTTGGTATTTGAAACGCTGGAATCAGGAAGCCCAACGCAATATTATAAGGTGAGGCAGGCCAAGATGTTCCATCCTCTGTTCCTCGTTTCTCGAATTGGTTCGTTTAGCGGTCGAATTGGGTTATGTTAATCCCCCGTAGTATCTTATTCAATCGAATAGCTATTGATTCTTTGCTTGAGAGAAATATGGTTAAAAATCATGGAATGACAACTCAATTCGTCGGTGCGAGATGAAGTCACAAAACTACCATCTCCAATTCGGTACTCTGCCGAAGAGCCCTATATTATTGTTTGCTATAACAAGCTATGATGTCTTGTTTCGTCAACTCTCACATCAGTTATCCAAATAATCAAGCTAACATATGGAGACAGCTATATTAGTCTTGTTAAGGAGACAACGCAAATATGTACGCTTAGAAGTTAGAACCAACGTATCGGTCTTGTCTTGTCCTCAACACGGACTTTAGATGTCTGGAACAGTTCAGAAATTAGTTCAGGGGCTTGTCAACTAAAGTGATGAGAAGAATGACGACTTCTACGAAGAGATTCTTGAATTTGAATGCAACCCTGTCAACTCAGTTAGCCCTAAATATCGATCTAAGGAATCCCCGGATAGAATCGATGGATGACGGAGTTGCCAAGACGGCTACCGGCTGCGCTTCAACGGTCGCCTAAGGTAAACCCGTCGTTTGTATTATCCATTAACTAACCTATTCTCGTAAACAAACGGCCTTGGTCACAAATTCGTAAAGTAAGAAAATATAGTGTATCTAGGATCGAATTCTTATTCAAAATACTCACAATTGAGTCTTAATAAATGTTGCCACCGCTGGTCTAGTTGGGTAACGCATTGACGCACTCGTCCTAGGTCCAATTGCTCGATACGGAATTGCCGTTGTCGATCACCTTCACGTCTTCCTTGATTTTTCGAGCTTGTCGTTCCTGAACTACATACGCGGGCCACGCTTCGCCTTTCCATTCGATCAAGATCCCTCTACCCCTGAAACCTCTTAGCTGAGCTCCAGCTTCGAATTAGGAGGAGCCGGCTACGGAGTATTTTGTTCGTTGATCCAAGCTAATGACGGATGCTGCAGTAGTTGCGGCTCTAACACTACCTAATGTACATAGTAGACACGAACATGCCAAACTTGCAGACTTGATAATGATGGATGACTTAATTCGTCGACCTAAACGACCAAGCGAATTATACTATGGCGAATAGCAGTTCAACGGTAGCTGAAGGCGGTATTCGAGGCATCTTCGCCTTGTTACTATTTTTCAACACGAGGTTTCTAGCAGCGACGATCTCCCCCGGATCTCCTAAATGGCGGCAGCGGCTCTCGAAGCCATCATGCGCGTTGATGCAAGACCGTTAGATCTGTCTTCTAGAACTGTGGCGTTCCGTCATGATGTGTGCCACACGATACCACATCTCCTCAGGTTGGTAATTAGCGCTTGACATCTTGCCTTCGACCCCTTGCAGCCGAGTTGCTGAGGGCCGTCTTATAAGTCCCCCTGTTCTTAGCCGCTACCTTCAACGACGCACTATTCGTCACCGTAATTGGGTGTGGTTGTTGCCCGATACTCCGCAAATAACGGGATGCCTCCGCGAGAAGCTATGTCACATACACTACGTGGAGATGATCTTGGGCAGCACCCCGTTACTACTCTCTCCGAAGAGTCCCCTGCAAATTACATGACCGTAGGGCTGTCATGACCCAAATTTCTGCGTAAGGAGCAGAACGGCGTCAAAATAAGTGCCTAACAAAGGGAATACTTTTATAAAAAGTTCTTTCGGAATATATTAAGCAAAATAATTACAAAAAGTCAAGCTAATATGAACTAGGTTCTAAATTTATTTTAATATAAATCATAAAGATATTCTCGAGTATTTCGCTGAGTTATGTGGATAAGAGAGTGAGACTCCTGGTATGTTAGTACTTACAAAATCGGCACTTATTTTGACGCTGTTCTGAGGAGTAAGTTGTAGTAAAAAGACATTGCTATGATAATAACTTACCAAAGAGTTGATATCGGCCTTGACTTCCATATATGGAACTAAGATACGTTCTCATTCGTTGGCAGTTGGGTTTGAAGCCTTTATTTGATGTCACATCTACCAGTATACAGTCACAATCATCCCATGTCAGGATGATCAAGATATCAACTCGTTTCGTAATATGAGGCTATATCAGCCCGTCTTAAGATCCGCAAGCTTGCCAAATCTCTTTTGATGTCAATGCTTTCCGTAAATCCCAGAACGTGGTACGGCCTAAGCTCTTGCAGGGCTATCTCGAAACAAGCAAGCAAAACTCTGGAGACATGGGGGGCCGAGTATCTTCGTCATCGCATCTCTCGATGGCCACTGACGAAGGCCCAGGAGAATAGACAACTCAGAGTTCAGAGAGGATAGGGGTACGGCATGGATATCTATAAAGTCTCGCGTCTCCTCGATAGTTTATGACATTCTCCAGACCATCACACAAAGACACTCGCATACCAACAACAACAAAGCCTATTCCCAAAGACCAACCCTCGCTCTCCAGCCTCTATCACTCGCTATATTCTCTCGTTCAAAATCTACGACTCCAAAAACAATATACTTGAATCAGCCAACATGCAGTTCTTCACCGCAGCCATCGCCACCATCTTCGCCGGCGTCGCCATCGCCGCGCCTGCCGTCGAGCAGCGCGAGGTCTATGTCCCCTGCAGCGGTCTCTACAGCACCTCGCAGTGCTGCGCGACTGATGTCCTAGGCGTAGCTGACCTCGACTGCGCCAATCCCCCTACTGTCCCCACCGACGCCGTCACCTTCAGCAAGATCTGCGCGGCTGGTGGCCAGCGCGCCCGCTGCTGCGTCCTGCCTGTCCTCGGGCAGGATGTTCTCTGCCAGACCCCGTCTGGCGTGTAAGCGGAAAAACTCACATTCGAAGAGGTCGCTTGTACTATATGACGTTCGGAATTACACCGGTTGGGACGGATAGTTAGGTCTAAGGAAAAGTGTGATATATAAATGTGTATCGACGTATTACTATATGATGGAGACAGGAGTTTTAAGATAGGAATGACCGGAAGTGTCTATGTATGCAATGGTTATAATATCAAAAAATAACGTACCTCCTGGGTCGGGATATATCTGCCAGTTCTTATAAATTGGCGTGCAGGCGAATAAATGATAATAATGCTGGATAACCAAATCACGCCGAGAAGGACAAACCCAACCCGTATCCGTTTTTGGTACGCTCCAAGGCGCTCCTGAGAATATGGTTAGACTTCTCTTTAAATAGAGACAATACAACGGAAGTCGACGGGGTTTCTTACAGTAAGACGTAGTTAGGATGCCAGCATCACCACTTTCGTCAACCAGAGGGACGTTTATATACAGGATTCTATCGACAATCTCAAGCTTAGATCCAAGGACCATATTAGATATTAGAAACTAGTACGTACTCAACGATAAACTAGGTACCGCCATAAAACACGCAGAACTTAGATGCCTACCTATATAAATAGGTACCTACACATCGCTTTCGGGGTCGAGCGATATGCGGTCTTCGTCCGACAAGTAACTATTAGCGAGGCCATGACATTTAACTATTGAGAAGTACAGAGTAGCTGTCAGAGCCGAATAATTCTGGGAGAAATCAAACACAAACCCATTTAACAGCCCAACAATAGCTCCCGTTAACCAAGGGCATTGGGTAAACCCGGTGGTTAAAGGGGAAAGGGAGGGATACTACTGATTCGTGGACGAATAGGAGAATAGCGCAATATTCCCGTTGCTAGTATCTCGTAGCTATGAGAATTGGAACGTACGTATATCCCCATGTGAAAATCTATACTAAGAAGCGTCTCCCATGATGGCGCTGCTAAGGAGGCGAGTGTAGCCCTATGAGATATATAGTCTCTATGGTACAGTTGAATAAATTATCTATCTCCTAGCTGACTCTCCGACATCTGCTCGTTCCATGGGGAAAGAAAAGTTGTCAAAAGTAGAACGTCGATGTGGTGGTTAAGGGGGGAGAATTTCGGAATATCCACTCCTATTTAGTGACGTCCACCGCTTGGTGATATTCGGTTCTTAAAGGTTACTTACAGGCGGGATGATCTATCTCGATAGCTGGAACCTTTTATTTTTAGTAGATCACATCGGTTCTTCAGCACGACCGTCTGAAATTCTTTTTTATATCTCTAGCGCAAGACGTGCGGACGCGATCTCTTTTTAAATAAAAAGATATGTGAGGTAGGTAGGTTATGCTCCGGAAGGAATGTGCGACGAGGAACCATATTAGCCCCAGGACCCAAGAGTTGAAATCGATTACGATATAAATTTCGTCATAACGAAGTAGTTTATGGTTGTAAACTTTCATTTCACTCTTCATAGTTGATATTAATGGAAATTGAATCAATGTATAGGGTGACACAGTGTAGCTTGGG